TTAGTTTGGATTTGATATTAACCCAATCACAGTTATCTTTCTCATAAAGATAAAAATTGAGAGCATCACCGTCTAGATATTCATTTAACAACTCAACAATATCTTCATCCGACCAATTATATCGCCTTGCAGCGGACTCATACATTTTACACCAGTTTTCGATGGTGACACTTTTCTTAGCTCCATCAAAAATATGAAGTCTTGGTTTGTGAACCTGTGAATGAGCGAGTGGTTGAGATGAGTCGATGATATTGTTCGGTGATAGTTGGAATTGTGGTGAAGAGGAAACAGAATAAAACTCAGACTGAGAAGTAGATGGTTGTTCATCTCCACTCAACATTGTGTCAATTTAAATTTGATGATAGTTCTTAATTAGAAATAAATGATGTGACAAAAAATGACAATTAATCTAAACAGCACAGAATTGGATGAAAGATATGATCTTTATCCTGTCGACTTGTAATAACTATGATGTTATCACCAGCGGAATTGAGTAGCAGCAGCAAAAACAGCAAGAATTAATGTTGACACTTTATTAGTTAAAACCCAATTAATTCATTTACAATCATTACGTGTCATTATATCTTTTAGGATAATTCAATATTAATTAGATTTTAGTTAGCAACCCAAAATTATCTTATTCTTCCTCGAATTTACAATATTATAAAACAATTAATTGGAATATTACAAAAGAAAGATCCAAAGTTTAGACTCCTTCTCTCTCTCTTTCTTGATAAACTAATATTCAAGAGCGAATATTAATGTTTTACACCGATACCCAAAACTAATAGACAACTTACATTAATATTCAAGAGTGAATATTAATGCTTAACATCAATACCCAAACCAATAGGCAACTGACACTAATATTCAAAAGTGAATATTAGTGTTTAACGCCAATACCTAAACCAATAGGTAACTTACACTAATATTCAAAAGTGAATATTAATGTTTAACATAAGATAACAAATTTTCTTCTTAATCTTTACCATCATTACATATATTTCCAAGTTATCAATTTAGTTATCGAATGAGAAAAAAGTTCTAAACAAGTTCGACATGTTTCGAAAAAAAGTTTCTTATTTGGTATTTAGAGGAAAATAAAAAGTTCACCAATCTCATTCATCATTCAATTTAAGGAATTAATTTAATAACTGATTGATTATTAAGTTTTCTTTTTCTATTTAGAATCGTTGGTCATCCTAATGTCCAACGTTTTCGCCCACTCACAGTCTCTGGAAACTATTTTGCTTCTTCTCTACATTTCAACCTGTCAAGAAATGAATTAACAGTCAACTTGGTGATTTTTTTTTCTTCTTTCAAAGTGAGAAAAAAAGTTCTAAAAGTTTGTATTGACTGACCCATCTATCAATGTCACCTGAGTTTCGTTATTCACCTTTTATCCATGAAGAAATCAAGAAACTTCATGTTACCCGATTGACTTTTGAATGTGATGAATTTATCAAAATGCTTAATCGATAAAACTATTTGAATAATAATAAATTTTAACTTTTTTCTCAGCTAATATAATACAGACCAACAATCAGATTTAATTGTTTATGAAGATGATCAAAAAATCTGAAGATTTATCATGAGTCGTGTGGATTTCAGGGTAAAAACGCTTACCCTGAACTCGTTCAGAACTATTCCTGAATATCTAATAGATTGATTCTTAGTGATTAACAAGTCCACTAATCAATCAACTTGATGAGCAAGTTATTGATTGTAATTTAATTGGTAAAAAAAAAGTTCAAATAATCAAGTATTCTGAGGCTGTTTCACCGAGACTCCATTCAACTATGATAAACATGAATTTCATTTCAATTGTTCAGCTTCATTAACAGTCTAACATCCTAATTTTATGTAGCAATTTGAAAAAAATCTAGTCAACAATTAGGGTTAATTGTTGACTAGTCTCATTAAAAGGAAACATTTTTATTGAAGTAAACTTTCAATGTATTAACAATTTTATTGTCTAATTGTCATGATTAATTTGATTCAAGTCTGTATTAATACAATTAATTTGTATTCAGTAATCATCTTCTAAAGTTAATTGATTGGTTGTAATGATTAGATCAATCATTGGAATACTAATCAGTTATAATCAGCTGATTTTTTTCTGTAAGCAAATTGAAAATTTCATCATCACTATTGTTATTTGATTATTATCACTGAGACTGTTGATTAAATTTATTAAATTGAATAATTTATCAGGTAATATCATCTTCATGTCATTTGTTGTGATCTGAATTTTTGTAAGAAAAAAAAGTTCATCATGATTACAAGACATAAATCATGATATTCAGTTAATATAACAACTGAATTGCTTTTAAATTGATGTGACATTTGAAAGTACCTGTCAAGGTGATGAAAACATTTCATCATCATCATCATCATCTCCATCTTCCTAATTAAATTGGATTTTCAAGAGTAATCTTGATAATCTTTGATCATCTTCCCACCTACTCTCATGATTCAGTTTTGAGTTTGTCTTCTTTTATCTCATTCCATCTCATTCCATCTCATGACATTCCAAAGATTCATCCATTTATCAGCTGAATCAGGAGTTTTATGAAGATAAAATTAGAGAGAGAGAGAGAGTGAAAGTCGTAGTAACTCAATGAAAAATCAGTAATAATATTTTACTCTTTCTGTGTTAATATCACACCTTAAGACTTGTGAATTACAGGTAAGAGGAAAAATATAATCAGACATTTTTCATCGGCTTTAGGAAGATATTTAGTACAAAATATTTTGTGAGAAAACTTTTTTGAGAGCCAAGGATTAGCTCGTTATCGTTTATCGTTTGATTCAGAATCATCTGAATCTGTTGAACAAAAACTTTGAGACGAAACTTTTTTCATCATCAGACCTTAGCTTAAGTTTATGGGGCAATCCTTTATATCACTCATGATTGTTGGTTGACTTTGCTTCATCATCATCATCATCATCATCATCCTTGAGCATCCCTGGAGTGTTCAAATGTTGTTTGCTGTTGTAGTTTCATTGATGAGAAAGTCATTTTTCAACAGCATTTGCAGGACACTGAATCATCATGATATTGATTTTTTTTCGTCTTCACCATGATAACAAACATTCAATATGACCCAGAATGAGAAAAAAAGAGCAAGCAAAGGAGAGAGGATGAAGAAAACAAAAGAAGAGACCTCAATGATGATGATGACCAGGATGACCATGAGGAAAGATGAGGATGATAATGATAACGATGAAACTTAATCATGTCCATATTTCTCATCATGGTTTATCATGAAGTCTTCATCACTTTATTCCGTCTCAATTCATGATTCTTTTCATGAAGAAGATGATTTTCTTTTTGTCTTGTTGTCTTCCTAACTTAGATGAATCATCTTCCCTATCATCCTTTTCATCATCATTATCAAACGATAAACATTGAGTTTGATCGTTAATTACACTAGAAGCTAAAATCTTATTGGACTTAATTGATCTTCGGCAAAGGTTTGTTATTAATAAGCTTCGTCAATCATTCAGAGGAAAATGTAACATCGAAGAAGATAAAAAATACAATTCAGATAATTCTTGTTCTGATGATCATCATGATCTCATGGTAGTAATGATTGAGAGAGAGAGTGAGAGAGAGATGAAAAAAGTAACACAATAAGTAAATACAATAAACTGTAAACAATTATATCTTCATATCAAGAATTAGTATCATAAGGAAGGTGAAATTGTTACAGAAATAATAAAGAGAAAATGAGAAAAGAAAAAAAAATAAAAGGATAGAACTTTTTTTCTTCTTATCGAATAGAAATAGATCAATATAAACAGTCTCATCATTAGAATCCAATGATAACTTTACTATCTCATTGTCAGAATTTTTTGCTTCTTTTCATTCTAACTAATAAAAGTTCATCTCTGATGATCATATTAATGAACCTCATCACGAATACACAGATTCAATCATTATGATGATGAGAATTTAACAATTAATGATATAATCATACACAGAAAAAAAGGATAGATGTGACAATTAATCCCTTAATCCACAGAGTAAATGAACAATTAAATTCACTGATTATCTAAATTTGAAAATGGTTAAATCAAATTACAACTACTCGCAACACAATCAATAAGGCTTAACAATTGGGTTAAACTAATTATAATTACATAATATCTGATTAGATTGTAATATTAACAGGGGATGATTCAACAATTAACCGAATGTCAGAATCAGTGTTAACTTTGATTGTTGTTGATTAACATGATAACAATAGGATTGGGAATATACAATCAACAACTTTTTGCAATTGATGTTCAAGTTTAACATTTCATTTCCATTGATTGTATTTTAGTAATGATTTGTTAGTTTATCGCTGGAAAAATATAAAAAATTCTGAATTCATGGTAACCTGATTCTGAACTATTATCATGATTATTTTCACCATCAATTGTGATCATTTTTTTCAACAACAATCAAAATTGAACAAGAAAATGATCACAATTGATTTTTCTTTAGGGATAAAAAATGATTTCCAATTTAAATCATCAACTCATTTCATTTGATAATCGGATAAATTGTTAATCATCATCACTAAATTTACTTATCTTTTTCTCAATGCTTGCAACAATTCAATTGTGTGCGTATTTCAATCGTGATTTATTTCGTTGATTAACCTTTTTATTTAATTTATTTTACTACTTTGAATTAAATTGATTTTCTCAACTAGAATTATATTGTTATTATTACCATCTAACATTCACAGACAAATTAAAACAAAAGTTAATCCAGTTACTCAAATTTAATTTAGATTTTTCTTTCTCAGTATTTATAATTAGGAGACAATTTAAACAGAGAGAGAGAGAGAGAGAATGAGTGATTTAATTAATTGTGATTAACTTTACTCACTAGTACTTTGGAGATTAATTCATATCATGTACAAGATTAACCTCTTTTAATCAGTACAATTGAACTTTGACTATTAAATTGAATTTAAATCTAATCATAAGTTTAATTTACTCACTTGCAAAGGGAACTGTGATTATAACCGAAGTGACCTTTCTTTTGACCATTAGGTCAAGTGTCCACTCTCGAGGTTTAGATCGTCTTGAATAGAAACAAGTTCGAGGATTATTATCGATTGCCAATGATGGTGGATACAATTTAATTGATTCAGGAGAAGTTGATTCACCATAAATTTGTAAAGGTGAATCTGTTAACAATTAGAATAGTTGGAAAGTTAATTATTAAAATGAGTTCTAATTATTAAATAAATGTTTGAATCAATTTAATGTCAACTTACCACAAATTGGTAAACCACCAGACCATTTACCGTTATTTAAACAAGTTCTAGAACCTCGACCACGAAGATAATATCCTTTTTCACAAGCATAATTAACTGTATCACCATAATTGTAAGTTGATTGAGTGAATGATGATGTTAACAATTTACCATAAGCAGGTCTACCTGGATGACCACACAAACCTTAATACCACATAAACATAATGACCAATGGTCAAGCCAAACAAACAAAAATTAAAAGGACAAATAAAACAAATTTAATCAACTGAAAATAACAATTAACAAAATGTAAACTTACATTGAACACAATTAACAAACCAAAAGGATATTAATAAGTAAATTGTAAACAAATCACTACACAACATGTTCAATATAAATTTTAAACAATTTAATCAAGACATTTAATCTTGATAAATTGTTTAAATCAACCACAAGCACCAATGAGAACACAATTAAACTTGAAGACAATCAATTTGTTTAAGAAAAACAAGTTAACTGAATTAAAACTTTGATACAGTTAAACTTTACAATTACCTCTTTTCAATTAGTGATTAAACTGGTTAATTAGATGGCTGATGATTTAAAGAGCCAACAATTTGTTGATCGTTTTCTTTACCTTTCTTATTGCGGGTAAACATTAAAACTCGGTAATCATTTTAACCCGCGCGTTCATCTGACCCCACCGAGTGACTTGTCCACGGTCAGTGACGATTTACAATGGAAATCGGTGATTCGTTGAAAAGAAGAAGATAAAGAAAAGAAAGAGATGATAAAATTGAATAGAAAGGGGAAAAAGATAATGATGAAAAGATGAAGACAAACCTAGAAGATAATTTTTTGTTAATCATCTAAGATTTTGCGAAAAGTTAACACCCAACATACACTCACATATCCTGTCTATTCATTGAGTTGATGATTAATTTTAATTACAATTAACAGCATCTTTTAATCATTCTCATTATCATGAACTCATCTTTAACCATCAACCATTCATATGGAGCCATTCATTCAAATGAATCAATTGATAGTGAAATTTTAATCAATCCAAAGATAAATTGATGATGAACAGTAATGATTGTGAACATGAGGAAGAAAAATAAAATAATGTCACCAAAATGAATGAACCAAATTATTGCTAAAGGTAAAAACCATTACCATTGAACATTATGGAGGACAAATGATCGTAAGGCAAAATCTTCATCACCATTCACCTCCTTTACATTAGCATCTTCCTCATCCTCATCCTCATCATCATCCTTTGTCTTGCAAACCCATTGCACTAATGTTACGCATCAAAGTATCAGCTAATTTCTTTGCATTGGAAACCAAACAAAAGGGAAGAAAAAATAGAAAATCTTTTTTACATCTTATCTTCATCATCATTATCATCATGTCTCATCCTCATCTTCAATCCAGTAACAAAATAAATTACATGAACCGGTAAAAGTAAAGGCATTGGAAAAAGTATCTTTTCCTTAACTTGGTCACCCATCCAATGATAATATTTAGTAACATTATCAACCCTGGAATGGGTCAACAGCACTAATAAGATGATGATGATGATGATGAAGATAAAAGATGATGATAATGATGATGATGATAAAAGGCTAAACTTAGTGATTTAATAGTTTCGACTGAAGAAAAGTACAACAAAAGGCAATATAATCAACAACAGAAGCAAATATCATCTCTCTCATTGTTGTTACTCTGTTGAAAAAAAAACTTTTTTCTTATTCAGTGAAAGTTTTATTATTACTCGAGAGTTAAGGTAAACATGGATAACCTTTTTAGATTGTTATTAGTGTATTAATTTATATTAACACTTGACACCTTCCAACAATTATTTAAGGTTAATTCACCTTAGTGTATAAATACATGGTGATAATCATCATCATGATTATAAAGATTTCATTCATAAAACAATTAATTTTAAATTAGACAAAACTTTCAACTGGTACATGTTATTTTTGGCAATTTATTGTTTATTATAAAGGCGAGAAAGTAATTAAATTACTGAATCAACTAAATTATGGTGGTTAACAATTTGGTTAACAATCTTATTACAAATTCTAATTGGGATAAAGTTACGAAATATGAATGCGATTGATTATCAATAGTTTATTAGTTTAATTATTAGAACATTTTTCTTTATTATTATAAATAAATGTCGATAAACAATAGTTCGAGTTGATTTGTTATTTACGTTTTTACTTTTGATTGATTGTTTACAAGGAGAAGTTATTGGTTAATTGAGTTTGGATAATTAAATGAGAAGCTGATTCAGTGTTAATTGTTATCTCTCCTTGAAGGTTTATCTTCATCTTTTTTTGATGGAAAAATAATTCGAAAAAAAAAGATAAACAAGGATGAGGAAGATAAGTGAAGAAGATGATGATGATTTAAATATCGAGAATAATGATGGAAAGGGATGACTATGGTTCGTGGAGAAATAAACTATCTGGTTATCTTCCTTATCTTCATCATTATCATCTTAAGATGTCAGGAAATGATTTTCTAGTTTTTCGTAAATATTTTCCGTCTGTAGATTGGAAGAGAGAGAGAGAGAGAAAATGAAAGAGATGCTTTTCTTTTTCTTGGCTTAGAAATTCATCCTCATCTTCATCTTCATCCTCATCATAATCCAAAAATAGATCACTAACTTCAATGGTTAATTTTGTAAGACTAACATCATCTTTATCGGTTTAGTTTTAACTGTTGAAAGAACTGATTAAATTTTCAATTATGTCTATTAAACTGATTGCAATTAGTTTAATTGTGCTTGGTTGCAGCCTTATTGTTACCTCATTGCCTACTCAATGTCCATCTACATGTGATCCATCTAAGTGTCTTGAGCCAGTTGATTGTTTTGCTGGACTAATTAAGGTTAGTATTTGATTTCTCAAGTGATTTAAACAATTTAGCTGAAACCATTTTGTAAAAATAACGTACAAATGTTAACCCTTTTCCTCCTTTAACAATGGTCATCAATGGTGAATATTTCATTGACCTTTCCACCAAAAACAAATTCCCAATCTGATTAACGTTAATTACATTTAATCAATTACTGACCAATCCTTGTATCCTTTAATTGTGAACTTATTACTATTGAAGTTACTATGAACACGATATAAACCCTTGATTGTTCAGTAATTAACTTCATTCATTGATTATTATTATTGATTCAATTATCTGAAGGATAAATGTAATTGCTGTTCAATCTGTGGACAATTTGAAGGGAATCGATGTGATTTGGTAACATCAAAAGGTCTCAATGAATCTCATCGTGTATACGGAGATTGTGGTGAAAATCTTGAATGTCGACTTCGTGATGATCTGGATCCCTCTGAGCCCGATGAAGCTCTGTGTTTCTGTGTCAAGACGGAAATGGTCTGTGGGTCGGATGGTCAAACATATGATAACCTTTGCCAGTTGAATGAGGCTCGATATAAGAGACGAGATGGATTAGTACCAAATAATTATGGTCCATGTCAATCAGGTAAATCTTTGAGTCACAAAAAAAAGGTAAACATAAAACATTGATTGGAAATTTAAATTGCTTCAAATTTAGCTCCCAAAATTGTGTCCAAACCGGAAAACTTGAACGGCTCCTTGGGCGATAATACTGCTTTCATGTGTCAGGCCATTGGTTGGCCAATACCGACCATTACCTGGAGGGTTTTACTCAAAAATACTCATGAAGTTAAACAGTTCAACAATCTACCAGCTGATGATCCTCACATCGCTGTCCAATATCGAGGTGGGTCCAAACCTCTCGAAGTGACCAGTTGGCTTCAGATCATTGGTGTTCGGGTCAACGATGAGGGCGAATATCATTGTATTGCTACAAATGAACTTGGAGATACATTTAATTATGGGGTGTTAACGGTTACTCATGATAAACCATTTATCTCCAGTGAAAAATCAGTTAATCATGTTAACAAAGAATAACAATTTAAGGTTAATTAAATTATTGAATCAAAGTTGAAGAGAAAAAAAAAGATCAACACAATTTGATTTTTTGTTTGATTCATTGTTTTTTGTTTGTTTCTTTACTCTTTATATACATAATATTTCAATAATAATAATATAATTAATATAATAATCATAATAATCAATAATAATATAATTATAATGTTTGATGGCCTAAAATCATATTACAAAATTTATTTCAATTCTGTGGCTCATGTTGTTATTTGAAGTAAAATTTGTCAATTGTTTTATATATCAACTCAGTGCATTCAAATTGCTTTTGATACTTAATTTTTTTTAAGACAAATTGATTAATTGATCACAATAGTGTTCAGAGGTTTTCTTTTGCTTGAAAATATCCAATATCTTACACCAATAGATTTTGGGAAGAAAAATGAAAATGAAGTGATGATGATGATGATGATGATGATGGTGTTTGATATTACCAATGGTTGTTACTGGTTGAAAATGCCTAATATGAAATTTGTTTCAATCGACTAATTAAATCACATTATATTGCTTGTTTCGAAAAAGATTTAAACAACAATAAACAATCAATTCGTGGAAAATCAATTGAGATGCTTGTTTGAGAGGAAATTAATTTACAGTTTCGTCAACAATTAAGAGGGGCGGTGATGGATTGATGTGTTAGAGATAGAATCAACAAAAATCAGGTGACAATTGATTTTATATTAATTAAAATAAAACCAATTCTCACGTTGAATCATTATTTACTCGCTCTAATTTTTCAATTAAAAAATAGATTAATTTAAAAGGCTCAATTGTTATGCGACAATAATTTGGGAGATATTTTCCCATGAATGGAGTTGATTTGATGGTAATGGTGATGATCGATAACGATGTGGTTTTCATGTTGAAAATGAAAATTAGTAACAGAGAGAAGAGGTGGGTTTAGAAGAGATGATGATGATGATGATGATTATCAATTGTTGTAATAAATAAATAAAGGAGCGATGATAATCTACAAATTGTGTCAAAAGAAGATTCTGAAATGATGATTCCGCTTTCTTGCTGTTTTTACCATCTCTCAAAACTGTGATCAGGTAAAAAGTTAATTAGTCTAAAAAAAACGACTTAATATGAGTTGATTTTTTGTCAGTATTTAAACTATATATTGAGGATTTGTTTTTCTTTTCAAATATATAAGTATATATATCATGATAATTAAACAAATTTTTAAGTGTATATAAATAATAGTTAAATATTAAATATTTATATTGTGTGTTTATGAATATATATGTATAATAAAAAAGGAGTAATTTCAATATTATACATATACACCTTGCCCACTGTCACTAGAAGCTGTACCATTAGAAGCAAAATTATCAGATGAATGAAGATTAACTCTCATTGGATATGCTTGACCACCATCATCGAAAAATCTTCTAAAGGTAAATTCAAAGAATGCGTGTTCCGGGTGTTTACCATTCTCTGGAATAGGACCTCCATTAACATAATCATCACAGTCACGTAAACCATTGGTATCTGACGAAGAGTGAAGTTTATCTGGATCAATGGGATCAAAGTTTGATGTATCCGTTGGATAACGGATTTTGGGTATGTAAGGCGCTTTTTGTTTACGAAGGCCACCGTCAAAATCAATTGTTGCAAAAAAGGGATGTTTCTTAATCTCATCTGCTCCATTTTTACCTAATCGATCTTCAGGTCCACAACATAGTTTCAAAATGAGATCAGTTGATTCTCGGGATAATTTTGCTTCTGGAGGGATGCGTAGAGTACTTTTCCAATTGATTACCTAAAGAATAAAAAAATAACAATTGAAAAATGTTAATAATGGGAAGAAAATTATTTTTTTTCTCTTTCCAAAGCTCCAATTTGAAAGAGTTGGAATTACTTTTTTTTACGATTTAATGTTGCTTTTTACCTTATTTTGAGTTTCTTCAGGAGTATTAGCTAAGAAAGGTGGATGTCCAACTAACATTTCGTATAATATAACACCAACTGACCACCAATCACATGATTGTGAGTAACCAGTTCTCATTAAAACTTCTGGAGCGATGTAATTGGGTGTACCAACAAGAGAATGGGCTTGACATCGTTGATGTTCTCGTCTCCGACGACGTTCCAAGGGTTTGATTATACTAGAATTTAGTCCACAATGACAATGGTTTGGCCAATCTTGATCAACAATGTCCAATGAATCTCCTCTGCTATGGTCAACACCATTGTTACGCTGATAATATTTAGAGTTATGTGTCCAACGAAAACCGGTACAAAGTCCAAAATCAGTTAATTTAATGTGACCATCTCTATCTATTAAAATATTGTCAGGTTTAATATCACGATGAATAAAACTCATCTTATGTACACTTTCTACCGCCAAGACTAACTCGGCTATATAAAAACGAGCCAAATTTTCTTCAAAGACCTCAAACTTTATGAGTAAAGACATGAGATCACCACCAGGAATATAGTCCATTACAAAGTAAAGATGATTTATATCTTGAAATGAATAATATAATTTAACGACCCATTCATTATCGGCTTCAGCTAATATATCCCTTTCAGCTTTAACATGGGCCACTTGATTTCGCTTGAGGACATCGGTTTTACGCAAAGTTTTCATTGCGTATAATTGATTGGTATCCTTTTTACGAACCAAGGCAACTTCACCAAAAGCACCAACCCCAATGGTTTCGATTTTAACGAACATTGATTTTTTCATCTTGGCTCGTTTCAATCTAATATAATTTGATTCTTTTTGATGTAACATTTTTCTCATTTGTCGTTGAGCAGATTCGGACAGTCCAACTTTAGCCATTTCATTTTCCAACTGTTGTCGACGCAATTCCCTTTGTTGTTGAGACTTTATCACATTTTCAACATGCTGCTCCATATAGAATTTAAATGCTGCAGGAGAATAATTTTTCACTTTTGTTTCTCTCCTTTCTTGCTCTTTCTCCTTGGAAAGTGGTTTCCTTTGTGGTATCGGAGAATGGTTAATTTCTTTGGGTGGACTATTGTAACTGCAATTTAGGAAAAAAAAAGTAAATGTTTTGAATTAGATAAAACAATCGAGAATCAGTGATTTGCTTTCATTGAAAATTAGGGTGATAGAGAGAAAGAGATAAAGTGAGATATACCAGAAATACCTAATCAATACATGAATGTTGATTTTTCTGATGTTTGTGTATTGGAAAATAAAGTTGAATTGATATAAAACAGATAAATAATTGAGTAAGCGATTGTAGGATAGAGAGAAAGAAGGAAGAATGAATGGAAAAATCTGAAAAAATGATCAATGTTGCTGTTGATACTACGAGCTGGGTTACATGATAAAACAAACTATTTTGTTCAATGATAGTGATAGAACCTTAAAAATGAAGTTTTTTGCATACTTCTTCCAATTACAGGTTACCTCGATTAGATCCTTGAATCTACTTTTTACTTGATTTTTGGAGTAGTAGTAGCAGTTGTGGTAGTAGCAACAGAAAGAGCAAAAATAATAATAATGATGATGAGGATGAGGATGATGATAATGAGAAAGAAAAAGATGGTTACCCTGAGCCCATTAGGATCATTTGGCAAAATCTCTTGATGCAGCAAATTGTTATTAGTTGTTGCTTCAAAAAGTAACTGAGATGTAACAGAGTAAACTAAACAAATCGACATAACCAAATAACTTAAAAAATTGTTTCGAACTTAGTTTTGGCAAAATAGTTTTCTTCTTTCAGGATAACACTTTCTTTCTCTTTCTCACTTTTCCTCTTTTTCTCTCTTTTCAAAAGATGATAACATATCGACTAAACAGATGATTGAAGGGGAGTAAAAACTGGGAAAAATTAGATATGAGATGCTTACCGATGATTTAAATCTGAATGATGATGATTGCTGGTGGTTGAAGAAGCTGACGATTTAGGAGCTTTTTCACTGTTAGTTGATGGCGGTGCTGTTGTTGTTATCGTTGATGATGTTGGTGGAGGCGGTGGTGGTGGTGGTGTATTCACTGGTGGAGGTGGTGGTGGTGGTGGAGGAGGTGGTGGTGGAGGCGGTGATTCATTGTACTGCATTAGAGTACTTGGTTTAGGAGGTAAAGGGGGTCCATTATTGCTACTATGGATGGCACCAACTTGCGAAGCACAAATCGACTCGACAGTATTAACCAGATCTGAATTTGGTGGCAATGGAGGGGGTGGCCTGGCAAGCAATTGACTTATATTGGGTAAATTGGTAGTGGTTCCATTATTTTCCCACAGTTTATTATTACAGTTTGGCGGTGTTGGTTTACTAGAACGACAGTTGTTACCTGAAGATACAATAGTCGATACTGGACCGGAAGCAACACCCCTTGCAACAGCTAAAGCTGCAACCGATGAAGCATAACTGGGGGGATCAGTTGCAGGCACGGAAACGCCATTAGTACCAACATTATAATGGTTGTTGGTATTGTTGTTAATGCTTATACTATTGTTACCATTTACTCTAGGTGTGTAATTGCCATTTGATGTGACAAAGGTGGGGGGTGTTGAGTTAACCGGAGGTACTGTTGGCGCAATTGCCGTTTGCAAGACGGGCTTTTGTACTTGCGTACTTTTAACGGATTGCATAATAACAGGAGATTGAGATTTAGCCTGGCGAGCGCTCCAAGCTTGTAGTTGAGATGTTTTGATCACCGAACTGACCACCGTGGTAGCAGCACCTCTTAAACAGGAGGAATTCTGCGAGGAACAAGTAGATGACGCTGAAGACATCATTTTTGGAAGTTTAAGTGACGGTGGTACAGAGGAATAATCTGAAGAGCTACTGATGGTGGGCGTTGGAGAAAGACGGCCTGAGCTAGATGACGCGGCATATGGAGGTGTTGAGATAGATGAGTACAGTGATGATAAACTTGCAGGACTATGGGGATAAGAGGGAGGTTGTTGAAGAGAAACGTGAATGGCACTGTGATTGTTAGAATTGTACAAAGATAAAGCTTGCAGCTGTTGAGCCAACTGTTGCTGTTGTGCTAAGCTAAGGTTTGATAAAAATTTCTAAATAAAAAAGTAGAAACAAAAAGAAATAAAAAAAAATTCAATTAGATGTTGATTTGATATTCTTTTCCTTTAAGGATTTGACACTAATCCAATTTATACACAATGAATAACGAGGGAAGAGAAAACAGAAACGAATGGTAACTTACCTTAGCAAAACCAATATTGCAAAGATATTGAGATATTGTCTCACAGGATTCATTAGATTTTGCCGAAGCTTCGGAATTAGATCCATTTGAGGTTGATGCTGAGTTACATGGGCCACAAGTTTGACCTGGAGATGAGCTTGAATCACTCGTTGTAGATGAGGCACTTGAGGTTGGCCTTTCATTGTTCTGAAAGGGCAATAAAGATATCCTAATTGCTTGTAACGCTTTTTGCTTGTATTGAGGTGATTTTGTATTGGTATTCGGTATATGTGCCATGTTAACGTGATGATGATAATGATGAAGAGGAAATAATGATTAACAAATCAGTAGATTGATGAATACACATTGACGGGGAAAAAACCAACAACAGTTTTCATTGATTGATCAATTTAGATGAACATTGGTATAAGTTTGTGATGGAGAAGAAGAAAAAAAAACAAAAGGGGAGAGAGAGAGAGAGAAAGAGACAAAAATGATGATGATGAGAAGCAAAAAAAGAATATAAAAAAGGAAAAAAGAAAGAGAGAGAAAGAGAGAAAAAAAGAATCAGAATATGAAGATAAAGAATAAATGATGAGAAGAAGAGAAGAAGAAAGGAAGAGAATAGAACAGATGAAAAAAAGAGAGAAAGAAGAGAAAGAGAAATAAATTAAAAGAAAGAGAAGAGAATAAATATTTTCTCCACATTCATTTAGTACAAATTCCAACAGCCAGAAGTCACTTCATCTTCTCAACAAATGGAAAATAAAAAGTAGAATTTATGTTTTCCATCTGTCGACGTTTCTCTTCTCTCTGTCTACATTCATTTTCTTTCTCTTCCATCGTCTCCATCTACTGTTATCAAATCGCACTAATTTCCAAATGTTTACATTTTTTAAAATTCTTTTCTCATTCATCCAAATGTGAGTTTCGATACTATCGAATTCAGGGAGCGAAGTTCGATCATCGAACATGAAAATTAGAATTTTTGAAAAATTATTTTTCTCTCAAAAACAATTCAAACTTCTTTCATTTTATTGACTGTTATTTGGGTGTACTAATTGTCAACTAGTAATTGATTAATTAAATTGTGTTTCATCTCTTAGATTATATGAGAATTCAATTCATAGTTTTAACCTAAAATGATGGACGGAACCAGGAATCTGGTGAGTATTTTGTTTAGAAAACTGAAACATGTGAGTTTGTTGTTGGTGTTAATATTTATCTTTTTTGGTTTTTTACGATTTTGATTAGAAACATTTTGGCCCTTGGACTGGGAAAAAGCAGAGGCAAATTTTCCGATTGATTTTCAAACAATCTATTGATGAAGAAGACATGGCCCGTAAGCCCCGTTTAGCTGACTACCAAGTCGCTTTTAATAGAGCTTGTGAACCTGGTCAACAAGATTTTACCTTGTTGGATATGTTGAAGTCTTATCGCGCATTTGTTTACGTTTTAGCGTATGATCGGAGGGGTGATAATCCCACCCATCAAGAACTCGAGGAAGAAATAGACAGGATAGATAAAGAAATTGATGAATTGAGGAAAATATCAACAGATTTAAAATCTCATGAATGATGTGAACTGTCAATTAAAAAAGGAATAGAATGATCAAAATTACCACATTATAATTATCTCACAATCTTTATTTATTTATATGACAATCCTTGTAACAATACGAACACCAACTCAACTAATAACTTTGTCACAAATCTCTCGTCATATCCTCTAGTAAATCCTATGAAAACTTGTGCATCTCCATCGCAAGTTACACTCGAGGTCATAACAAACATCGCTAGTCCAATGAGTAATTCATCGTCCAATCTCAATCAATCAACTTTGCCTTCACCAACACCGATAACAATTAACAATATTCCTTGTGCAACAATAACAGTTTCACCAAGAAATAGTTCACCAATAGTTCAATCAACTTTATCATCATCGATACCTCATCATACTCAACCCATTTTAGGAAGATCAGATCAAGACAAACCCGTGGAATCATCAATTCTAGATCAAGGATTAGTAGTTAAAACCTATTCCAATCGATCAGCACGTAAAAGGCCATATACAGTTAGTAATGGATCAACTAATCAATCTGAACATGGACTCAACACTTCCCATATCATACAAACTGATCCTCTGAAAGTAAATTCTGAGTCTCGTTTACAACCTCCCGATGATCCAGAAGAAACGGAAAACAATTATCAAAATTATCTCAATGAATCTCATGGTGTCACCTCATACAATAGTGAGGAAGATACAATTCCTTGGGTTAATTCAGTTATAAGACAAAATTACCAAAGTTTTGGGTACGAATCAAATTTTATCCGAAATGATTTAATTCCAATGGAAACCACCGACTATCATAATAGTAACTTTGACCAAGAAGAAGACGATGAAGATGATGAAGACGAAGATCATTCAGAAAATAAATACATTTATAAAATGAACACTTCAAATACCAACAATCCAATTGCTACTCATTTTCATGATCAACAACCTGCTCATCATCATAATCACAACAACAACAACAACAACAATCACAATCATCACCAAAATAACCACCACCCGAATCATCATCAACATCATCAGCACCACAATCAACTCAATCAATTGACAAATGTCTCTCCTTTAGGTCAAACCTCATCCTCATCCTCAGTACAATCAACACCATTAACTGAATCAAATCCAACAACTACCACTAGTCCTGGTCTATTCTGTCCCATTGAACATAATTATATTCCAACATCAACAATCAATTCATTCAGTCATGAGACTAATCAACTTTACCCAATTTCATCAAAGAAAAAGGTAAATTTCGAGTCGCCAATAACAAATGAACAATTAACTAATGATCAATATTCATTGACGATACCAACAAATACATTTGAAAATTTGGTTCATAATCACCATTCAGTTCAACTTCATCATCATGGACAAATTCATCACCAATGGTAGCAATTTATTCAATCACTTATTAACTTTAATTTTTTAATTTCTCTCTTGATCCTCCACTTGATTATGCACACAAATTAACCTCTTTAATTACAATTAAAAACAAATGCAACAATAAACTTATTTCCCTTTTCAATGATGACAAAAATCAAATCCTTTCATGATCACCACAGGATCTAATTGTTGATTCAATTGAGATTATTTGGAAATCACATTCGCAAAGTGTCAATTCTCAGGGTAATAATAACAAGATGAAAATGATGAAAATGATAAAGATAATGAGGATGTTGACTGTTTGTCCATGATAATGGAAGATAATTAGTAACAGAGAGATGATCCTTATCTTCCTACATTGAAATTACTTCATAAATGTAGGTAGACAATTGAGTTAATTGTTTCTGGTAAATTGTGTTGATTTATTTTCCCTCAATTGTTTTCTCTCTCTCTCTCTCTCTCTCTCACCAGATCCGTTGATTTGTCCATTGATGCAAGTTGATTCCGGTGCCATTCAGTTTGTCCTTCAAGGAGCCAATGTAATGTGTCCCGGTTTAACTTCCAGAGGTGCAATCATGACACCCGATCTACCTGTTGGATCGGTGGTCACTGTTATCGCTGATGGTAAACAACATGCTCTTGCTGTTGGAATTCTTAAAATGTCATCAAATGAAATGTAAGTTAACCTTAGAAGCTTTGGAAATCTCATTCTCTTTGGAATTGCAACTAATTGATTGATTTTTTTTCTATCAATTTTTTTCTCAATCCTTTCTTTCACTCAACTAATAGAGCCCGAGTCAATAAAGGAATCGCTATTGAAAGTTTACACTATTTAAATGATGGTTTGTGGAGATTAAAGCCGATCAGATAATTGCAATCTCTCACATGTAATGTTTATTCATCAAGAAGCTTTGAAAAAAAACACACTTGTTGATGTTATGGGTCATCTAGTGTCCAAGTAGTTTCTTCATCTTTGTATTTTTTACAAACAAATCTCTTGATTTAAACATTAAATTCTTAAATGATCATTTCGGTGACAGTTTCTTGATCCATTGCCTCAGGTACTTGGGGTAAATCTTTTGCTTCTGTTGTTGGTGTTTCATGTTGAAGGTCAACAGGTTGTCCGGGAGAGAGTAATACTTGTTGAGGTGCTGATGTTTCTTGAACTTTTTCTGATTCAGTGGAAACAGTTGTCGATATAAAAATAGGTTCTTGTGAGATTGGAGGTGATTTAAGTCGTGGTGAATCTTGTTTAGGTTGTGGAGATTTGATTGATTGGATTGGTGATTTTGGTGTTGTCGGTGTTGTTGATTGGAGAGCTTGTAGTTTTCGTTCACGTTCTTGTTTTGCTTCGGTACTTTTAATATTTTCCTTAAATTTTGCGATCACTGATTGTGTTTGTTTCAAGCGATCTTTAAGCTCTTCGATTTCACTTCGAACTTTGGTTTTAGCGGATTGAATCGAGGAAATTGTTTTCTGCTTCTTATCCTCAAAATCAGTCTCATGTTTGTAAGGTCCAATTAGTAATTGTCTTGTGTTGGTCAGTAATTGTTGCATCATGGCCGATGGATCTTGTAAAATAATCTCATCATAAAATTCTGAGACGATGTACTTTTTTATGTCATTCGAAATTTTATGTCATTCGCAAAACTTTTTTAAACTTCTTGAAAAGTTCTTGTTTTCTTGAATTAAGATAGGAAGAGAACTTCATTAGATTTTTCTTGATTGATGATTACATGATTAAAGTTTTCATAGATACATGTTTCGTTTTTAATGTATACAAGAAACTTTTCATGAATCAATTATTAATCTAGAGAAAATTTTGAAATACGAAAGAAAAGTTATGATGAAGCCGCTTAATTGACACATTGGTTTGTTTCATGTAATCAATCATCTATGAGCAAATGTTCAAGATTTTTATGTGTCTGTCATCATATCAGGTTTTTCAGCGTGTAACCAAAATAATCGAGGGACAATTTTTTTTATGTTAAACCGCTGTACTGAGGTTTTTGAAGCGTTGCTGTTGTATCGTCTTTTGCAATCAAATTTCTAAATATCGAAACAAGAGCATCACGAGCCAACTCGAGAGTGAGTTTTGAATTCATTCATCTCGAGTTAGGTTAGGTTAGGTTAGGTTATCACACTGCTCACAGATCTCTTCTTTGACTTTGCAGGATTCACAAGCCAATGCTGAACATGGATGTATGAAACAGGTGTAACTTATGTGTTCTTTCACATGAAGACCTTAAAACGACCTTCCAACGTGTCCTTCGAGAAATGACTTCAATGACCTTGAAAATCGTAGGGTCGAGCGCCTGAGTGCGTCCGAGGTCTATTGAGCCCTGTGATCAAGTTTGACATTCCTATGACCTTTAGTTCTTAAATTATTAAAGGAAGAGATTTCATTAGATTTTTCTAGATTGATGATTTGATAATTTTGTTTTTGAGGTATACAAGAAGGTATACTTTCGAGAAAATTTTGAATTATAAAAGCAAAGTTATGATGAAGCCGCTTAATTGACACGTTGATTTGTTGCATGTAATCAGCATCTATCCAAGATCTTGATTCGCTTGTCAATCATAATCAAAGAGGTCAACGAAAATACGAGATCTTGAATTTATGAAAATCATCATCGGAACTTGCCCCTGGATTTGATTCAACGAGACACCTTGTTTGGCTCATTTCATGTGAGACTGTGCTCATAAATCGATTTCAATCCTCAAATTTTTTTTCGCGGTACATTGAAGTCAGACATTACACTTGAATCGACACTCAATCGAAAAACGTTACCATATAGAGATATATCTTGTTCTGAACTTAACCCGTAACTTGATTGTCACTGACTTAAGCTCGTTCGATATAAACGATCACAGTTGTTGAGGAATCAAGAATTGTGTCCATATCACCGATTATATGAAAAGAGGCCCACTCAACTCCTGGTTCAAATCTTTATTCGAAAAATAGACTTTTCTATCAACGATTCTAGACTGTCCAAGAGATAAGCTTTGCAAATTCCTTTTTCAAAAATATCATTAATTAGCTTGGGTTAGGTCAACCCGTCGCATTATTCACAGACCTCCTCTTTGGCTTTACAGGATTACCAAGCCAATGCTGAACATGAATGTATGAAACAGGTGTCATCATCTTCAAGATTCTTTGAACAAAGGAACAACTATGAACTTCGTTCTTTGAACAACTCGTGTTCATAATTGTGTATAAATCCTTAAGAAAATGAAAAAAGAGTTGTTATAAAAGCATAGACACAAACTACACACAAGATGGTCATGTTTCAATATGAAAAACTCCAAGAATCAAGTTTATAAGAAAAGTCGCTTGTAAAAGAAATCTCAGCTGCTGTTCAACAAAATACCCTCAAACTCAAGATTCATGTGTTACTTTATGTGTTCTTTTGCTTGAAGACCTTCAAACGACCTTTATTTAAGACTTACTTATGACTATGACTTCAATGACCTTGAAAATCGTAGGGTCGAGCGCTCCAATTCTGATGAGTCCTTTGATCAAGGTTGACATTCGTATGACTTTATGTTCTTGAGATATCTTGTCCACCTAACCACCTACAAGCTCTCTAATCAACAACAGTTTTCATAGATTGATCAATTTAGATGAACATTGGTATAAGTTTGTGATGGAGAAGAAGAAAAAAAACAAAAGGGGAGAGAGAGAGAAAGAGACAAAAATGATGATGATGAGAAGCAAAAAAAGAATATAAAATGGAACTAATTTCCAAATTTTTACATATTGTAAAATTCTTTTCTCATTAATTCAAGTTTCTATTGAAACTTGGCTCATATTATCGATATTCACAATCGATAGAAACAATAACAATGTCTCATTTTGTCAACAAAAATCATTTGATTGTTTGACTGTTTATTTCTATTCTTTAAACTGTTTAAAAATGAGTGATTATGGGCCTGATTGTCGGGAAAGGATCAATTCTATTGATTGAAATGTAAGTTTAAAAATTAAATCCCAATCAACTTTTCTTTTTCTAAAATTCGAGATTTGTTGTCCAAAAAAATTCGTTTCCTTAGAAACTTGACTGATATATCGATATTCACAATCGATAGAAAGAATAACAAAATTTTCTCATTTTGTCAACAAAAACCATCTGATTGTTATTTTTTACTATTCTTTAAATTGTTTAAAAATGAGTGATTATGGGCCTGATTGTGGGGGAAGAATCAAAGGTGTGACCATCGTGAAACCGATTGTTTATGGAAATGCTGCTCGATATTTCGGTAAAAAGAGAGAGGAAGATGGACACACTCACAGTTGGAATGTCTATGTGAAACCTTATCAGAATGAGGATATGTCAACTTATGTGAAGAAAGTTCATTTCAAGTTACACGAAAGTTATGCTAATCCCAATCGAATCATTTCAAAACCACCATTTGAAGTCACGGAAACAGGTTGGGGTGAATTCGAAGTCGCCATCAAGTTATACTTCATGGATCCAAATGAAAGACCGATCACCATTTACCACATGCTCAAATTGTTTGAAACGGATCCCATAAGTAAAGCCATCAACATAAAAAAGTACATCGTCTCAGAATTTTATGATGAGATTATTTTACAAGATCCATCGGCCATGATGCAACAATTACTGACCAACACAAGACAATTACTAATTGGACCTTACAAACATGAGACTGATTTTGAGGATAAGAAGCAGAAAACAATTTCCTCGATTCAATCCGCTAAAACCAAAGTTCGAAGTGAAATCGAAGAGCTTAAAGATCGCTTGAAACAAACACAATCAGTGATCGCAAAATTTAAGGAAAATATTAAAAGTACCGAAGCAAAACAAGAACGTGAACGAAAACTACAAGCTCTCCAATCAACAACACCAAAATCACCAATCCAATCAATCAAATCTCCACAACCTAAACAAGATTCACCACGACTTAAATCACCTCCAATCTCACAAGAACCTATTTTTATATCGACAACTGTTTCCACTGAATCAGAAAAAGTTCAAGAAACATCAGCACCTCAACAAGTATTACTCTCTCCCGGACAACCTGTTGACCTTCAACATGAAACACCAACAACAGAAGCAAAAGATTTACCCCAAGTACCTGAGGCAATGGATCAAGAAACTGTCACCGAAATGATCATTTAAGAATTTAATGTTTAAATCAAGAGATTTGTTTGTAAAAAATACAAAGATGAAGAAACTACTTGGACACTAGATGACCCATAACATCAACAAGTGTGTTTTTTTTCAAAGCTTCTTGATGAATAAACATTACATGTGAGAGATTGCAATTATCTGATCGGCTTTAATCTCCACAAACCATCATTTAAATAGTGTAAACTTTCAATAGCGATTCCTTTATTGACTCGGGCTCTATTAGTTGAGTGAAAGAAAGGATTGAGAAAAAAATTGATAGAAAAAAAATCAATCAATTAGTTGCAATTCCAAAGAGAATGAGATTTCCAAAGCTTCTAAGGTTAACTTACATTTCATTTGATGACATTTTAAGAATTCCAACAGCAAGAGCATGTTGTTTACCATCAGCGATAACAGTGACCACCGATCCAACAGGTAGATCGGGTGTCATGATTGCACCTCTGGAAGTTAAACCGGGACACATTACATTGGCTCCTTGAAGGACAAACTGAATGGCACCGGAATCAACTTGCATCAATGGACAAATCAACGGATCTGGTGAGAGAGAGAGAGAGAGAGAAAACAATTGAGGGAAAATGAATCAACACAATTTACCAGAAACAATTAACTCAATTGTCTACCTACATTTATGAAGTAATTTCAATGTAGGAAGATAAGGATCATCTCTCTGTCGGAAAAACAAATGTTCACCAGCTCCGTTGATCAACAGTTCAACATGATTCTGGCATTTGACCACTTTCAGAGTATCTTTTTTGGGAATAATTTCATCAATGGTCTCCTCAATGTTGGGAAATTGTTCAATTAACTTGTTACGGATTCCCTTTTGAACGGAAGATTTCAATTGAGTAGTTCCAGAAACACAAGAATCATCAAATCTATTGATAAAAATATAAACATGAAAACAAAAAGGGTTAACAAAAATATCAACAAAAAAGGATCTCAGATTGGAAACAAGTTAATTGTCAACAATTTACTTACTTTTTAAACATTTTCCAAGATGATAAAGCTTTTAATTGAAAGTAAATCACAACAAGTTGACTAATTGGTGATGAGAGAGAATAAAAAATAAAATGTAAACAAAGAGAAAGCAAATTAAACAGATGAAAAGGTTTTATCTCATTTTCTAAATTAGAAAACGGTCCCCAAGTGAAACAGAATTTTCAATTTTGTTTGATCAGAAAAACTTTTATCGAAATGTTAATCTTGTTTCTTGAATCCACAAATGAATGAGCAGAATAATTAATGAATAAAATCTTCAAGTTGTAAACTAATAATTTGTATAAGAACACCAACCGCGCATTTGTCATTCTTTTTCAGGTTCGATAAGAGACTAACAAGAAGATCGAGTGGAGATGAACCAAACAACCATTGACTCTTTGCCACGAGCCTTTAACAAGAGACACACGACCAGAATGAGAATAGATTTAAACAATTAACATATCGGATTAACTAATGATCATTTTATTCCCATCAACTAGACCATTGATTGTTACATTATCAATACCTTGCACTTACGGGATTAACAAGTTTCCATCAATATGGACATTGAATGAATCATGGAAACTTTAATTAGTTTCGTTGGATTTGATTTCGCATTTTGATTATTATTTTGTTTTCTTTCATTTTTTTTATGGAGAAAAATAAATAAACAATTGAATCTCAAGGTGGATAAAATATTAGTTGAGAATCAACAAAGTTTAGGCTTGGTAATTTAACCTGTTTTTTAGGTTGAACAATAAATGTTTGACCAAAAGTACATAAGACTGACCCCAATAAGCTGTTAGAAACACTCTCACTCTGGTAAACAGAAATTGTTTCAAAGTTTTGGTCAGTTACTGGACTTTACATTGATTGATGATGTTTTTAAATTTTGCCTTCTTCTTGCTTCAGATGTAAAAGAGATGAAATTTTATTCTCTTTTTCTAATTTTCTCTTCCAATCAGATGAGTAAACACACTTCTAAGCTCTGGAAGATGAAGAAAGGAACATATCACCTTGCAATCTGTTGAATATTGACCACTTACTATGGTCAAGTCTGTAATCCTCCTGTTAAGATAAACCATCTCTTTGCCATAAGTAAAACAATAAACAAAAATGAAAAGAAAAAGAAAAAGAAAAAAGTTCTGATTGAATCTGTTGGTTATCTATGTACCTTTTTTTTTACTTTTCCTGTTTACAGGTCAGTTTACACCTTGATGAATAGGTGAGCATGAAGATAAGGATGATGATGCAAAAATCATCACAAAACAAAAGGTACACGTATATTCAAGGTGCCAAAGCTTACACACCTTTCCCACCCCGAGTGTATTGTGTTACCAACAAACGGAAAGTATGAAAATAACCCAACAATCAGTAACTTTTTTAGATCATCAGAAAATATCAAATTCTGATAATCAACTGATAAATCAACAGGTTTATAGGATTAGATTATCATGTTGATCATTATTATTACTGTTGAAGTAAATGCCTTTTGGTTCATTGTAGTTTTTCATTCCCGCTGAGAGGGCACACTTTATGTACTTACATTGGTTGATTAGTATGGATAAGGTTCGAGGATGAACTTTGTTCACGAGTGTGACTCTCTCGTCTTTGTATCATGATTATTGTTGGTGTTTTAAAGTTATAATGAGTTTTATTCAAGAGAAAATAAAAGTACATTGAAAACTCACAATCGGCATTCATTTAATTCAATCAATGGACACACTCATTCACTCATTATGATTAACACTAATTATCTTCCATTATCATGGACAAACAGTCAACATCCTCATCATCTTTATCATTTTCATCATTTTCATCTTGTTATTATTATTACCCTGAGAATTGACACTTTGCGAATTTGATTTCCAAATAATCTCAATTGAATCATTAATTAGATCCTGTGGTGATCATGAAAGGATTTGATTTTTGTCATCATTGAAAAGGGAAATAAGTTTATTGTTGCATTTGTTTTTAATTGTAATTAAAGAGGTTAATTTGTGTGCATAATCAAGTGGAGGATCAAGAGAGAAATTAAAAAATTAAAGTTAATTAGGTGATTGAATAAATTGCTACCATTGGTGATGAATTTGTCCATGATGATGAAGTTGAACTGAATGGTGATTATGAACCAAATTTTCAAATGTATTTGTTGGTATCGTCAATGAATATTGATCATTAGTTAATTGTTCATTTGTTATTGGCGACTCGAAATTTACCTTTTTCTTTGATGAAATTGGGTAAAGTTGATTAGTCTCATGACTGAATGAATTGATTGCTGATGTTGGAATATAATTATGTTCAATGGGACAGAATAGACCAGGACTAGTGGTAGTTGTTGGGTTTGATTCAGTTAATGGTGTTGATTGTACTGAGGATGAGGATGGGGATGAGGTTTGACCTAAAGGAGAGACATTTGTCAATTGATTGAGTTGATTGTGGTGCTGATGATGTTGATGATGATTCGGGTGGTGATGATTTTGGTGATGATTGTTGTTGTTGTGGTTGGTGTGATTATGATGGTGAGCAGGTTGTTGATCATGAAAATGAGTAGCAATTGGATTGTTGGTATTTGAAGTGTTCATTTTATAAATGTATTTATTTTCTGAATGATCTTCATCTTCATCATCTTCATCGTCTTCTTCTTGGTCAAAGTTACTATTATGATAGTCGGTGGTTTCCATTGGAATTAAATCATTTCGGATAAAATTTGATTCGTACCCAAAACTTTGGTAATTTTGTCTTATAACTGAATTAACCCAAGGAATTGTATCTTCCTCACTATTGTATGAGGTGACACCATGAGATTCATTGAGATAATTTTGATAATTGTTTTCCGTTTCTTCTGGATCATCGGGTGGTTGTAACCGAGACTCAGAATTTACTTTCAGAGGATCAGTTTGTATGATATGGGAAGTGTTGAGTCCATGTTCAGATTGATTAGTTGATCCATTACTAACTGTATATGGCCTTTTACGTGCTGATCGATTGGAATAGGTTTTAACTACTAATCCTTGATCTAGAATTGATGATTCCACGGGTTTATCTTGATCTGATCTTCCTAAAATGGGTTGAGTATGATGAGGTATCGATGATGATAAAGTTGATTGAACTATTGGTGAACTATTTCTTGGTGAAACTGTTATTGTTGCACAAGGAATACTGTTAATTGTTATCGGTGTTGGTGAAGGCAAAGTTGATTGATTGAGATTGGACGATGAATTACTCATTGGACTAGCGATGTTTGTTATGACCTCGAGTGTAACTTGCGATGGAGATGCACAAGTTTTCATAGGATTTACTAGAGGATATGACGAGAGATTTGTGACAAAGTTATTAGTTGAGTTGGTGTTCGTATTGTTACAAGGATTGTCGATTCCATGCTGGGTGTTCCCTCGTATCACTGAAGGTGACACTGTTAATGAAGAGGAAGACGAGGAACTTGAAGAAGAGGAAGATGACGAAGAAGAAGATGACGAGGATGATGACAAGGTCGAACCATTATTGCTCGTTATGTCTCTTAGAATGTTACCACCAGTGACGGCATTCGCTCCATGACCTGAATCAATCTGTTCGATCGACAAAATAAGATCATTTCGCTCAACTTTACCCAGAACATAATTGATACTGACAATACAATGAGGTCTCGAGGAGCGGGTATTATGTACAATGGTGGCATAGCTCTGCATCCAGACCCAACCTCCGTTCTTGGTCAAGAACCGATAATATTTAGTGGTCACTTGGCCTTTTTGCATCACTATCAAAATAATTGAGAGAAAAATTATCATGAAAGTCAATCAATTAAACAGTAAATTAAATGTATTAACAATTGAAATGGTTAATTATCCAAATCTCAATGTAAACAGTATGAAAATTGTTTACAGTTGGTTGATTGTAAAGTTACAATTAGCAAATTGCAACAATCAAAATCCCTCCATCAATTAGCAATTGTAATTTTACAATTATATTTTGAGTGAAGTTTTTTTTTAACACAATTTGCAATTTCAATTAATATTATTTTACCATTAATTAACCTTGAACATTTAAAGGTCATCACCACAATTAATAAATTATAATTAATCAACTAATCAATGATTAATTGTTTACTCATTCATAGAAGATAAAATTAAATTTGTAAGTCAATTAGTAAATCATATTAGCGATTTTAATTTGTCCAACTTTTTTTTTCAAACTTAACTTCATTATATTGAATATAAAACAATTAAAACCATGATGATGATAATATAAAAAAAAGTTAGTGATTAAATTGATTTCTTGTATATTTATCTAATTGTTTAGCTTAATGGTGATAAATTGTCACGGTCATTCAATATCATCTTCATTATCATCTTGATCATCATCACAACAAATAGGAATCGAAAAGTAGAAAAACAAATAAAGCTAAATCATGGTTAATTGTAATTATATCGATATAATAACAATAATCAAGAAGAAGAATCAAACAAATGATTAGTCTCTATCATCACAATCAACCTAATCATCATCATCATAAACTAAATCAATTTGCTTTCTCCAAGGCCAACCAATCAAAATATAACGGTAAATTTTTCCCCCCTAAATTCATCTAATTGTTTACCTTTCATTTTTTGATTGTAATCATTAAAGTTTAAAGATTAAATCTCATCATCATTTAATTGTCAACAAACAGTTAAATCCTTATGGATTTAAATTACTGATTGTTTTTTTTTATCTATTTAGCAAAGATTAAGGTAAACAAATAAAATCCAATGGTAAAGGGGGAGAGTAACAATTTAGTTAATCCTAATCACTATCATCATCATCATCATCATCATTTATCCAGCTCATAAATTGCAGATAAATTCAGTAACCAGAACTTTTTTTTCTTATTTTCTTTGTTATTATTTTTCCTCAGCATTTAAACCTTGAAATTCATCATTTGAATAAATAAACGAGAGTAAATTTAGTTTGATATGTAAATTTGATTGGTAAATTGGTGACAAATCATATGTTAAGTTGATGATAATCAACTTTAAGTTAAATGTTATTTACTATTAACTTAAATTGTTAGTAAAATAATAGGCGACAATAAAGTAAATTGTGTTAAATTATATTAATCATTGTTGATGATGATGAGTTGATTATGATAATACTTACATTTAATATGAGCAAATCTCATCCATTGTTGATCATTGTAATGAATATATTGGTAAATTGTTTTCTCAATCAGTTCTTGAACTTCATATCCCATCAGCTCTTTGACTCTGAAGTGGAAAGTAGGTAAATTGTGATGGTGGAAATAAAAAATTATTAACATCATTATTTCAATTGAATCAAAATGAAACATTTATTTGAATCATTTGCATATATGAAACTGTTTTTCTTGACATTTAGCAAACAATTTAGTTGACGAAAATGTGAGCTCATTGTTGATTAAATTATCAAGCAAGAATCTATGTTTACTTGATAACTATTAATAATAACTTTTATCATCTTCATTCAATTGGAATGACCTCTAAAACGTTATCATATTGATGACCCAAGTGACCTTGTCCCTCGAAAATGATATTTCGTTAACTATGATGATATTTGGTCTCAGATATTAAAGCCAAGTGATTGAAACTCCTTAAATTTTGTTAAATTTGATTTAATTGTTGAGGAAATTGTGAAAAAAATAAGCTTCCAACTACAACTTGAATCTATTATTTTTAATCCACTTGATTGTAATTGTGATTAAGATAATTGTAAACAATCATTAATAATGATACTTGTCATAGTCTTTACAAGAAAAAAAAGAGATTACGACAAGTATCAACAATTAACAATTAGATTAACAATTAAATGGATATCTTGACCTCACAGTGTGAAACTTGCAGATTGACACAACAATTAATAGATTTAGTTGATTGTTAGGTTGGAATTGAATTAAAAAAAATATAATGATAATGTCTTAATAATCAATTTACATTTGTAACTAATCACAATTTGATAAGATTAATTTTTTCCCTTAAAAATTAAGATATTTCTTAATCAATCAAAGGTTTCAAATGATCAACAATTAGATTAAAACTTATCAACAATTAACAATTTTCAATAAAAAAAAATTAATGACTGAAAATTGAATGAAATTGTTGTTGAATGATGAATCAAAATCAGGACAATTTAAGAATGAGATTAAATCATGATAATAATTGTTAGTTGAAAAAAAAAATCCTGTGTTGATTGTTACATTGTCAGCAATTAACAATGAATCGTAGTAATCGGATTTACAATAAATTAATAATCAATGAAAAACTTTGATAATCAAACAATTAAACAATCAAAACTATTTCTTTATTAATAAAATTTTCATTTAAAGTTAATCACTTGAAATATTTGAAAGGATAAAGAAAAAGTTGATCAGTTAATTGTGATTAGTTAAATGATCAATTATCTAACTGAAAATGACCCGAGGCTATTTCATCATCTACCTTTTCATGAGAATACATTCAACCTATAATAAAAGAAAGATGAACCAGAGAAGAGGAAAAAGATGATGATGATAAATGGAAGATGAATATTCGATGGAAGAGAAGAAAAAGTTTTTATAGGATTTCAAGTTATCTTCACATTTCTATAGGTTCTCAATGTTACTCATCATCTTTATCTTCCTCCTTTCTGTTCATCATCTCTCATGAAAATCAATAGTTCAACTGGAGAGATTATTATTATGGTTCCTATCTAATAACTGAATCAACTCTTGAACTTTTTCCCGAACCTTATTTCGAGTTTTGTTTTTTTCCTCAATTTTTAAAATTTAATCAATTAATCTTCTCATTAAGTGTGAACAGTTTATTTTTTAATTATTTCTAAATTGAAACTAATTGATTTGAAAACCATTGATTCAAATGTTAATTGCTGTGTTGAAATTTCAATGGTATCTAACAAATTTATTTAACTACACAAATTAAGTGAAAACGTTCAAAGTTCCTGATAATTAATCAACAATTAGTTACAGGGAATTTGATTCGTTTTTATCAATAACTTTTCTGTCTTAATATCGAGTCAATTCCACTTGGAATTGAGTTAATTGAATTAATTTGATGAAAGTAAACATTTGGTCAATTAGAATTTATAATATTTTCGATCAACTGAGTTCGATAATAAAATATGATAGTCGAGTATCATAATTGTGTCTTTGTACTGATCATTGTTGTTTTGCTTACCTTTGATCGAGAAAAATTAGCCTGAAGTCGAGACTGGCCCTGAACATGAACATGTTACTGTACATTTTGATATCGGTTATACCGGAGGGAGAGAGTGAATGACCCACCGCACACAGGCCCATGTTTTGAAAGGGTGTTTCGTTTGATCCGTTGAGACCTTCGACATTAAACACTCGAACTTTAAGATAACCACTACAATGGATGACCTGAGGGAGAGGAGGAAGAGGAAAATGATGAAATGGTTGTCCGTTTGTTGGGGATATTCAAGGTTCGACTTACCTTATATCCTTGCGAAGTGAGTCCAGCATTTCGCTTGGCTAGAACACATTTCATGCGAAGAAAAAAAGATCGCTGAAATTCAAAATTGGAATTTGAGTAAACACCTTGCTGACCATTTGAATCATTTGTTGTTTTGGTGGTCACTGGTTGTGGTGACGAAAGAGATGAGTGAGATGAGAGTGGTGAAGATGAAGATGAGGATGAAGAGGATGAAGAGGATGAAGAAGGTGATGTTGATGTTGGTCGAGAGGAACCGATTGGTGGAGATGAAGTTGAATTTAAAGGTGGTGATGAATTAAAATGATTCTGATGATTATGAGATGAGTTAATTAATATTGACGATGAAGATGATGAGGTAGAAGATGAGTTCCGAGAAGATAAAATAAGAGATCTTAACTCAGCCGTTTCTTCAGCTGATAAACTTAGAATTCGAGCCATTTCTTCATGATCTTCGATGTGAATATACTCATAGATTCCATTTCCCGTCAATTCAACCTTAGAGAAAGAAAATCAATCGAATCAAAATAAAAATCTTCTCTTCTCAGAATCGACAATTAACTTTTTCTTTCTCAAAATTGTCCAATTCTTTCGTTAATTTACCCATTAAACTCATAGATTGAAATACTAATTGCAACATAATCATAATAATAATTAACTTCACGGTCAATTTGAGGTCAAATGGTGAATTGATTCACTCACTTGGTGGTTACAATTTGAACAAACGCCAACAACAATTAACGAGTAATAAGAGCAACTATTGAATCTGTTTTGTTTGGAAATGGATATTAACATTAATTACAATTACAATTCAAGTAAAACACAAACCTTGAATAATCAAAATTAATCACAATCAGTCAAAGTTAACCCTCGAGGGCTCTAATAGAGCCCTTGAGTGACCTATGAAAGGGGTCAGCAAGAATCATCAAGGGACCAGTAGTCCAGATTGACCATCAAAGTCAATTGTTTAATCATCTACAAAACAAAACAAAACCAATCATTTCTGTTGAATGATTGATTAGCCTTGTGATCAGTTAATTGTCAACAATTTACTAACCAGTTATTAATATATATTTAGATTGTACTTTTTGCTTATTTCCCAATTAACTGATCGATTTAAAATGTTTAATTGTTGATTTATCATTGTATAAGTTTGTTACCCATGAGTGACAATTAACTATTAATAATTCAATTGAATTAATCATCTTTTGTTTGTTTCAACTTTTTTTTTTAATTGTTGTAAATATTAATTATCATCTTCTTGTAGTTAATCTTGATTCAGTTAATTGAGATCTCAATTGATCCATACTAATGTTACAACAATTTAAATTTAAAAGCCGACTTTAAATCATCTTGATTTAAGCAAGAAAAAAAAAACTTTACCTTGATTAGTTAATAATTGTTGATGATTAACTGATTATCATTGTAATTGTTATGTTTTCAGTTGAAAAATAAAACAAAACATACAACAATTAACCTTATACACCGACTTTTGTAATGTACTTTAATTTAATCACAATTAGTTAATTGTAATTCCAAATTTATTATCTAACCTTAACCTGAGATTTAACCTTGAACGGTAGTTGAAATGATTTATGTTAATCGTTGGATTAATTGTTGTTGTTAAATTGATTTAGTTAATAGTGAAGAATCAGATGAACAAGAATATTGATCATCAACCTTCACAATCAAGTTAATTATCATTGTAATTAAATTTCTTATTGAAGGGGAAGGTTAATATTATGTTGATTGTGTTTCACCAATTTGTTGATTATCATCATTAATAACTGTATCATTGGATTGTTAATCAATAATCAAGGCTATAAAAATCAATTACATTTAACTAATCATTAATTGTAAACAAAGAAAAATGTTTACAATCAATTGGTTTGTTATTAGATATAAAAAAAAAGTAATTTAAATTACAATTAAATCAAGTGAATATCAAGGAAAAGTAAATTAATTGACAACAATTATCATCCAATTAAGAATCAAATTAATTGTTTATCCTCATCATCTAATTGGATGACAATAAGTGATGAAGATAAAGAATCTCAGATATAAAAGTTCATAAATAATTAACTCAATTAACTGAAAGTTTGGAACAAAATTTAGATTCAGATTTCAATTTTCTCGAATGAGATATTTTTTCATGAGCCTTACCTGAGATAATCCCAAGTGGGTCGATGCTGTTTCCGAAATGTACATTACTTTACCATCGTCGGCAACCACGAAAACAAAACCATCTAAAGTCTGAATGGATAAAAGGTAAAGAAAAAAAAAGTTCGAAAAAAAAAATTCGAATTGAAAACATGAACATTACTATGGACTCACTTCGATTGACAATCGAAGACAATTTCTACTGATCAATCGATCAAAATCATTAGCATGATGACCATCGGTCATTGATTGATATATTCACATTCAATTGGCTCAGTAAATTTAGATAATACATCCACTATAGTGTAATAACAATTGAATCAATCAAATCAATTTGAATAAATAGCTAATTGTCTTGTAAGAATTTCAAGTTTTTAATTGATTAATCAATTTAAGAGATATGAAAATAAACAATCAGATTAATTGTTACTCGTAATAAGATTTTCTTTATCAAATAACATTAACAACTAACCAATTGAATCATAATATGTAGTTTAAGTGTATGTTTAGTTAATTATCAATGATACTTAATTACAATTAAGTGTATGTACTGATTATAATCAACATTGATTGTTTGATAAGCTTATGAATTGTGATTTTTTTGGACCCAAAAAAAAAAGTGTACAACAATCTAGTGAATCTCAAGTGTGTGAATATAAATTTTTGCAAAGGATTAGGGTAACAATTAACATTCGAGTAACACAATTAACATAATCATCAAGTTCTGATAAAAAACGATGAAATTAAACTTATAATTGTAATTAGAATGAAAAAAAAAGAGGTAACTGTTTCAATACACTATTGTAACTTATAGTGGGAGTGGGAAGAGGATGAGGATGAGGTGATGATGATGATGATGGAGGAGGAAAGTTACAGATATGCTTGATCACGTTTTTGTTTTAAGTCTGACATTTGGTTAGTTGATTGATTGAGTTTTGTTAAAACTTTTTGTTTCTTGATTCTAACTAACTAATGATATACAATCAGTTTAATCAACGTACAATTTATACAGTTAACAATGATTATTATTGATTATTATTAAAATAAATATACAAATATCAAGATTGAGATTAGGTTCAGTTTTTTAAACGGAAAGTTGAATTGACGATTGATTTAGATGATTAGTCAAATTTAAGTTGTTGCTTATTTGTTAATTACTAAAAGATTCTTGGTAATTTAATGAAACTTTCAATTCTTACCCTTAATAAATGTGACCCAAGCTCCTTAATGGTAAACTCTAAGGAATCGTCCGGTGAGGGTCGAGTGCCCCATCCATCCCCTAATCCTGTAATTAAAACATTAAGATAGTTGATTAGTGATCAATTGATTCGAGAGGGAGAGAAACATTTAACAATTGATGTTTAATGTTATACTGGCTGGAGATTCAAATTGAAACTGTGATCATCAAGGTAACAATAAATTGTACCGTTAATTGTTGTCTTCTTTACCAAATTCTCAAAAAAAGAAAATCATAAAATCTAAACAATCAGATGATAACTATCATCATATTGGATCAATCAAGAGTCCTTATTGAAAATTTAGGAATACAAATGATAATATGTCAAGATTTTTAGTGGTTTTTTTTATTTCGAAATCATCAAGAATCAATGATGAAACTATGAAAGAATCTTCAAGTTATCAACAATATATATCAAGCATTGAGTAGAACTGAAGATGAAGCATTCAAACAATCAAATGATACAAATCAGATCAGGGCTTAAGTGGGCTTAACAATACAAATTGTTTACCTTAATATTTCATCTCTCTATCTTCATCATTAATCTCACTCAAATCATCATTATCATCGGTTTTATCTGCACAGTGAGTTACCAAGATAAAAAAACATTTCCGTTTACATGATTTCCATGATTGCAATTAAATCAATCACAAAGAGCATAGTTATTATTATGGAATCACAATCAAAAGTAAAAGGATGCGAAGGGCTTCATCATCCACCCTTATCATCATCCTCATCACCCCGAATATCATCCTTAAATAAACAAATTAAGGCTCGTAAGTTTTAATAGGAACCAAAATAAAAGGTAAATAAAATATGTCAAGATCAGTGTCAAAAAATCGGCTCATTTTATGCTCTTTTTTTGTCATCATCATCATCATCATCGTCTCTCTCTCTCTCTCTCTCTGCATCTTGGCTTCATCATCTTATTGTTTGCAAGAAGCCAAGTTGTTTTAGAGGAAAACAACTAAAGATTCCGTTGGTTTCCACCATAAAGTAATATCAATGGTTGAGAAATTACCTTTTGGGTTTATCGTTGTTTTTTTCCAGGTAAATGTTTACCTTTGTAAAGAAAATGTCCCTGTTTGTATCGCCCTGTGATAGAGTTTCCATAATGGTCAGATTGAAATACTTTATATGAAAATAATTGAATAATGATTGTTTCCTGTTTCCGACTAATGTTGATATTGATAACAAAAAAACATTGTTTGCTTTATGTTTTACATTGTTATTGTAATAATTATCAATATTTAACTAACAAATATCTAATCAAATTCTTGATTTTTGAAAACTGGTAAAAGATTTGTGATCTGATCTGACAATCGTGAAAAATTGACGATTGAATACAATTTCGAATGAAATGAAATGCAATTGTGAAAAATGAATTCGATTTACTTACCGTCTGGAAAAACATTACGAATCTTGAGATATGAAGAGGTCAATCTAATAATCGAAGCTTTATCCAATTGTCCAGTTATCGCTGCAGGTAAAGGTAACAATTTTCCAAGATCGAGAAATTCAGCATTTTCCTTTTCTCGTCGAGTTCGAGCAGCATTTTTCGACTTTTCTTTCATAATAAAACCGAAACAAAGTCACAGATCAATTTGGAAACTCAGTGGGCTCACTTGACATGAATTATAAAAAATCACTTTGAAACTAAAAAATAGTAAACAATAAGTTCATTGAGACAATCAGTCTTTCATGATAGTTGATTATTTAGCACTTGAAACGAGCAAATTTCACAGATAAAGTACAAAATGCGAAATGAAATCAATTGATTCGCAGTTCGAGTGAAGTTTGGGATAGAAAATGAATAAAAAGGGAGGTGAGAAAGGAGGTTTATCATTTCAACGATAGAATAACCAAGATGCGAATTTACTGCGCAGCTCAAGTTGAGATAATATTGCCTATAAAAGTTCATCATAATATCGGTCTATAAAAAGAATATCTAATTCCACCATTAATTAAATTACCTGTTGAAGAGATCGATTGATTGTGACTTCGATAAGACGCGAACAAACTTGCGAATTTTTTGATGAGAACTTTTGCTGAGCGAGTGTTTGGAAATTCGGCTGTTTGTTTCTTCGAGTCATTGATATTGAGAAAATCGAGAGACAAAAGTGAGAATAAGTTTAATATTTTAATTCAGAATAAAAGTTATTATCATATAGCTCATTAGAAACGATAAAATAAAATTATTCTGATTTTATTGGTAGTGAATAAGATAAATCATTGAGTCGCTTCTTGTGGTATTGATCGTTATAACTTTCGCTTTCGATATGTTCACAATGTTGATTATACGCTGTGATGGCTGCAACACTTGACCAGGAATGATCAAGATTATCTTCTAAATAACTGAACAATGTTGCTAATAATGATAAATCAAAAGGAACTGATGACGACCGCTTGTAGAAAATTTCGCATAAACGTTTTTGGCTAAGATTCAGCGAAAATGAAGGGAATTCTTGGCTCGGCTGACCATTTAGACGAAGATTATCAACTTGGTTGATGAGATTATCAATTGATTGGTTATCGTTGAAATGAGAACCTGAAAAGAGATGAAAAAAAATTGAAAAGCAAAAAGAGTGAGAAGAGAAGTTTAGAAGTTTAAGTTTCAAGTCAAAGTTTAAATGTACAAATAAACAAGTGGTTAATTATGACTTTGTTTCCTTATTTGAAGATTATATTGTGAATCAGTTCACCTTTTTCACGCCAAATTGCGACCATAGAGTCCACATCATCATAGCTTCTCCACATATATTCTTGATATACAGCTCCATTGTATTTAAGTGAAAGGTAAAGATTGTACAATCTAAAAAAACACTGCGGTGTCCATTCCATACTACGAGGGTTATCCAGAATATTCATCACTTTGGTACAGACAAAAGGGCAAAGAGCAACAGGATGCGGCCTTTTGAAGATGAGTGAGCAAAAACACTGGTGACCTGCATTGAAATCGCACTGTCGAAATGAAGAAGCAAAAAGTTAATTTATTTCTTGCAAAATGAACTTTTTATCAATTGAACGTCAAAGACGAAATCACGAAACTGAATTATTCTGAGTCAGAATTTCTGACTAGTGAGTCACAAACTTATTACCTAAGTCACCATCTATTGAACATTTGAGGAAGAAAAACATTTGCAGTCAAGATTAAAAAGAAAACATTAATTTTCATAATTATAACGATTAGTGATAGAATGAGACTACTGGATCAACTGAATTATTCCCCGCAATTGAATTTCTTTAACTAAAAAAGTTCATTAATCAAAATAACTTGTAACTCTAATAAAGTCAACAGATAGCGACAGTTTCAAGTCGCTTGTTGTTGATTAAAAGCCTTGAGGGTTTAGCTCGAAAAGATTGTTTTTTCTGTAAAGAGAAACATTCTGTAAATTGACTGACAAATTGTCAGTGACAATTTAATTTCAGTGGTTGAGAGAATCACTTACATTTTTCATAAGATCTCATTCTTTCTGAATTCTAATCTCTTTGTTTGATCCATGAAGACACAATACTAACCATTTTAGGACAATAATTGGTTCAGATGATGAGTTGTGTTGATGTTTAGTTTAATGGATGAACGGTAGACATATGGAATAAACAAGATGATTGTTGGTTAATTTAAATTCTTTAATTAATTGGAAAAATTAATTGAAAAGAGAAGAGTAAAATGGCTGCTAGACAGAAACAGAGAGAAAAAAGAAAGAACCAAATGATCGTATTTTTATTCATATGTGATCCCTAATATTCTCCCCTTACTTTTCCCTTCCATCGACCAATCAGGTTGTTAGAATTTTTCTTCTCTCTAGTTAAAGAGGGAAAATGTAAGCATTACAATCAGTTGAAAGAAAATTGGTTAACATGAACATTGATTGTGTCGAGTAATTAAATTGTTTCCATTTTAATTGTTACCATTGAGATTAACTGATTAACGACAGTTGATTGTAAACTTTCACCGATCTAAGATCTTTGACACCTGTTGCCAACCACCGAGTTACATTCAACCTGCGAAAGTGTTGAAAATGACACAATAAAATGGCCAATCAATGTAAGTTAATTTTTCTCTTTTTTTTTTGTTCTCTAAAAACAACAAATTTTTTGCTATTTTATTTTTGTTGGTAAATATTTAGAAGTTTCCGTTTGAGTTGATCCATGATAAGCTTATTGATTTAATTTAATTGTTGTTGTCTTCACCTTTTTGACTTGGATCACAATCACCAACAATTATCAACGAAATACACTCATGATTCAATTGATTAAATTCAAGGACATCAATCAGTTGAATCTTATCAACCATATCAACCACAGTGATTATTGTTTGTATCAATATCCAAATAATCAAGTGTTTTTTTTACCACAATCTAATTGCTACAATCTGATAGAAATTAATTATTATTGATTATGATGAAAATGGTGAGAATAATATTTCAATCAAGTAAATAGGTTTTTATCTTAATTTCTCTCTTCGGAGATTCTGATTGTGAGATTGTAATCATCAACAATTAAAAGAAAGAAGAGAGAGAGAAAATTTAATCACCATCGAGATAATTTAGTAGATAAACTAACGCTTATCATCATTGTCGAGATCTTAATCCATCATCAGTTGAATATAAGTCGAATGAGCAAAAAAGAGGTACAACAATCAATACGATTGATATTCCATTCACATAAATTAACTTTTTCTCTTTAATTTTTACAATTTCTCATTGATTAATTGTTCTAAATCTTATCTGTATTCTTTTAATTTTTCGACTTCACAATTGTTATATCCAATCATAGAAAATAATGTCTATTAAAGGAGAACTTGGTAAGTGTTATTATTACTTTTTTTTATTCTTCTCGATTGTTTTAACCTTTAATTATTTCCTGTTGATTCTTTAGCTGTGATATCTGTTTGGGACAAACGAGGTTTAATTGATTTCGCTCGTCGACTGGCTAATAGCGGATTGAATCTCGTGGCCAGTGGAGGATCAGCCAAGACTCTAAGAGAAAATGGGTTGAACCTGAAAGATGTGTCAGAGGTCACTGGAGCACCTGAGATGCTCGGTGGTCGAGTGAAGACTTTACACCCTGCGATTCATGGTGGTATTTTGGCTCGAAAAATTGATTCTGATCAATCAGATATGCGAAATCGTGGTTACCAATATATCGGTATTGTTGTTTGTAATTTGTATCCGTTTGTTCAAACGATTAACTCACCAAACGTGACCATTGCCGATGCCGTTGAACAGGTGGACATTGGAGGTGTTACTCTACTTCGAGCTGGTGCTAAGAATCATGATCGAGTAGCTGTGATCTGTGATCCAAATGACTATCATCTGTAAGTAAAGGGTGTCTGAAATAAGAGCACAATTGGTAAGAGAAATGATAATTTTTGACTAAATGACCACTTGTTGATTTAATCTAATAGATTTTTTCCATCAATAGATGACAATGTCTCTGTCGCAAAATTACCATTTCTTTTTATCTCTTACCAATTGTGCTCTTATTTCAGACACCCTTTAAATAGAAAATTTTTAACATAATCTTTTCTCATCAACAAATTTCGCTTCAAATTTGATCAACAGAGTTGCTTCCGAGATTGAACTTAATGGTGTTGTTTCAGCTGAGGTGCGACGAATGTTGGCTGTTAAAGCTTTCAATCATACTGCTCAATATGATTTGGCCATTTCCAATTACTTTAGATCTCAATATTGTTCTGGAGTCTCCCAATTGACCCTTAGATATGGCATGAATCCCCACCAAAAACCCGCTCAACTTTACACAATGGAAGCAAATTTACCCATGAGAGTAGTCAATGGATCTCCTGGTTTCATCAATCTTTGTGATGCTCTTAATGCCTGGCAATTAGTTCGTGATTTAAAACAAGCCCTTAATATGCCAGCAGCCACATCATTTAAACACGTTTCTCCGGCTGGAGCCGCTGTTGGTGTCCCATTAACTGGACCACAATTACGATTATGTTGTGTTGAAGATATGGCTAATGATCTAACACCATTGGCCACCGCTTATGCTCGTGCTCGAGGAGCCGATCGAATGTCCTCTTTTGGTGATTTTGTGGCCCTTTCTGATATCTGTGACGTTCCCACCGCCAAGATAATCTCACGGGAAGTTTCTGATGGGATAATTGCACCAGGTTATCAAGAAGAGGCTTTGAATATACTTAAGAAAAAGAAAGGTGGTTCTTATTGTATTCTAGAGGTAAATTATCTTACTCTTCATCTAATGAGATCAATTAAATTGATTTGATTACCATCGTTAGTTGAAGTTGACTTTGACAAACAAGTGATAAACTGTATCAATTGATTGCCTTTTATCTTGATTAATTTTCTCTCTTATCTAATGCAGATTGATCCTAATTACGAGCCATCAGATATGGAAACAAGAACACTTTTCGGTTTAACATTGGAACAAAAAAGAAATGATGTATTAATTAATGAGAAGTTATTTAATGTCGATAAGATCATTTCAAAGAACAATAATGTAAGTACTCGAAAGTTAAATCATCAATTAATCTCGTAACAATTAATAAATTGATTACAATCATAACCTGTTAATGAACTTGCTATTCTTTTTTTTCAACAGTTATCTAAAGAAGCGATTCGAGATTTAATTGTTGCTACGATTGCTCTTAAATATACACAATCAAATTCAGTTTGTTACGCCAAAGATGGTCAAGTAATTGGTATCGGTGCTGGTCAACAATCACGAATTCATTGTACCAGATTAGCAGGTGACAAAGCTAACAATTGGTGGATGAGGCAACATCCGACCATCTCTCAAATGGTTTTCAAGAAAACAATTAAACGAGCTGAACAATCAAATTATACCGATGTTTATGTCAATCGACAAGTTGGCCTAGAAATGGACGAGAAAAAATGGAAAGAAGCTTTCGAGGTTGCACCTAAACTGTTAACAGAAGATGATGCCAAAAACTGGATTAAGGAGATGAACGGAGTTGCTTTAAGTTCTGATGCCTTTTTCCCGTTCCGAGATAATATCGATAGAGCGGCAATGTCGGGGGTCACTTATGTCGCAAGTCCTGGAGGATCGACTAACGATCAGGTGGTTGTCGATGCTTGTAATGACCACGGAATGGTTTTGGTCCATACTGGATTAAGATTATTCCATCATTAAAAATGTTCTCTCAATCTAATTAACTGTTTAGAGAAACTTGTTATTATAAATATGAAACACTTTTTTGTTTATGAGATTTGATATTTCCTTTGGTATCTGATTGAGTGATAATTAATGATTGTGAGTTTAAATGAAAATGATTCATTTTAATGAGTTGATGAATTAATGAGAGCAACAATTGTCTCGGATTCTTGAAGTTATTTGATAAAAATTTTAGAATATGAAAAGAATCAAGATTATTGGTACTCGTTGAGAAAACTTTTCTCCAATGAGAAGTTATAATCGGACATTGATGGAGCTGAGAGAAATAGATCAATCTTTTCAATTGTTTCGAAATAAGGTTTCAATTCAACACTCATTTTCTGTCCAGGTAAATTTAAATTGCAGGTAAACGGAACATTTTCCAATGGGGATAAATGCTTGTCATCCAATTGTCTTGTTGAACTTGCGCTGGCTGCGGCGGCCGCTTCTCCATTTCTACTCTGAAAGTACGAATGATACGAACAAAATTAAGCGACAATTTCATCAACAATCAGCAATCAAGATGCAACTCACCAATTCAGAGAAATCAATGTAAGGATATAATGTGTTTTCAGGAGGATTCCCTTGGTTTGGAACAACAACAAAATCTTCATCGGTTGTAGTATTTTCTTGTTTACTTGTAGAAGCCTGATTAGAGCCCGAAGCGGACTTTTTACTCCGACCAAAGACATTACCAAATAGATCCAACATCCTGATGAACAATTAAAAATGAATCAGAATCAATTTGAAGAATAAACAAATTTCTCTTTCAGTTTCTACAAGGTAAACATGGCGAAGAAAACAATTGATACACAAAGAATAGAATCAGAATATTATTGTGGATCAAAATCTTACCTTTAATTTGATGGGAACAGTTAATTGAAACAGTTAAAAATTATCTAAGACAAGCTCAGTAATTAATCACCAATTGATCACAAAAATGTAAACAAACCAGAAAATTGAGAAACCAAATGATCGATTTTTTCTAATTTTTCGATCAATCGCTCGAGCCAATCAATCGAAAGAGTAATTTAATCATAAGATATTAATACATGTAATCAATTAAATTGACAATTAAACTGAGGAATAAAAGTTTTAATTATCATTACAGAATAAAATATCATGTTTCATTAAAGAGTAATAGAGAATCAAGAATTAAGAATTAAGAAATATTCAATCAAATTTAGATGATAACTGAATCATCTCCTTATGATTAAGTGAAGTAACAATCAAAGAAATTGTTATGATAATTATGAGTTAATTGTTTGTTTTTACAAATTGTTTCAATATTTAGTAAGATGAATTGAGCTTGTAAATGTAATGAGATTTAAACACAATGGAACAAAAAAAAAGTGTGAAAAATTTAATTATCGATTTGATGGTCGATTAGATTGAAATAAAAAAAGTTTATTTCGATAACCAATTGAGTCCATGATTTGAATTATGACCGGAACCCTGAACGGTAATCCAACGGGGAGAAGAAGCAGAAGTTTCCGGTTCATCATGATGAGATGAAGAGTAACTTAAATCAGATAATCGGTCATCGATTGTTGGTCGAGGTTCTAATCCGTCAAGTAAAGGTGATAGATGGTTAATCGGACGAGAACGAAGCTTCTGATTGAATGGACTGTTGATATAATTGATTAGATTACCTGGCCCTCCAGTTGATCCACTGATTGAGTCCATCATTCCAGGTAGAAGGGGCATTTTACTTGTCGATTTCATGATCAGATAAGGAATCGCGACAAGTGATCGAGTTTGTTTGTTGTAAAAATAAATTGGAGAAACGGACATTTGAAGTGTTGGCATTGACTCCGAAATCAATTGATGGACTGATAACTTATTGTGTAAACTTTTCTTGTGTTTCATTGCTTCAGTTAATTCTGATGACGATGATGATGGTTGAGGTGAATTGGTCATTGATGATTGTGTTGAAATTGATGGTCGACCTTCAACCTCACGATGTTGATTGTTGATACTCTGAGTTGATGTTACCGGTGAAATGGTTGATGGGACTGGTGAAGTTGTGGTTGTGGAAGGAGTTGTTGTTGTGCTTGGTGGTTTAGTTGTTGATTCTGTGGTTGGAATGGTAGTTGTTGTGGTAGAAGTGGCGGTTGTTGTTGTTGTTGGTGGTGTTTCTGTGGTTTCTTCTTCTTCTTCGTCCTCGACATTTTCATCGCCGTTCATTTGCATTAATTTTTCGGGCTTTTGTTCCAACATTTCGTGTTCTAATCTATGATTTTGGATTAGATTTTTAATCTGAACCTTAGCTGGAATCAAATGAACATTAGAAATGTTAATCAATCAACTCTAATATGATTTGAATCTCAATCAGAATAAATTTACTTACAGTTCGACTGACCTTTAATTTCTTGTCCGTTGTCCTTTCCTCGTATGATCACATCACTCGGATTAGATGAAGATACTCCCGGTTCCAGAGATTTACCATTAAAAGCGTAATTCCGACCAATATAATCCATCATTCTGAAGGCATCAGAATTTCTATAACCATAAACACCTTTCATCCCATTCCAATTTGATTCAGTTCGATCAGAATCACCTTTGTGATTGTTACGATTATCATTCTCAAATCCAGTTTCTATCTCTTCATTAAAACGATAAGTAGGTGAAGGGATATTCTGTAAGAAAATTGAAGTGAACACCAATGGAAATGAAATGATTAACAAATAATCAAGTAGATTAACAGGTTAATAATCAACCTGTAAGATTAATTAATCTTCTTACCTTTGAATCGTAAGTTTTATCATCTTTACGGGCGAAAACAACATTACCAACAATTGAACAAAGAAACAGCAATTGAAGTGTTGATTTAGGAATTGTTTCCGTGTCGATTAATGAATTTTTACTCGAGATTGACAACAATTTAACCATAATTATTTGTATTAAGTGTTTATTAGTTGAAAACAGAAAAGTAATTACAATCAATTTAATCCAAAGATGATGTTGACACAATATTGAAGCAAAGGTAAAGAGTTTCAACTGATTTGATTGCTGTTTCAAAGTTAAATGATTTAAATATAAGTGAAAATGGTTCCTTTATAATGATGATTAAGGATAAGCCCAATTTAATGATTGTTAATCAACAACAATTAAAAATGAACTGAAAGATATTCTAACCATAAAAAAAGGCGAATGGGAAATCAAAAGGGAAACACCTTCGATCCATCGTCAGGTTATTTTCACTTGTAAACTTTAATTCCAATTTTGATTCAAGTTTAATTAGAAACAATTAAGAAACTTATCCCCTGTGATCTATAAATGAATCGGAACAATGGTCAACTACAATCTCCACCCTCTGATTACCTGAATGTTACTGATTTCTATCCACAATCAACAGATCATCATCATCATTATCATCATAATTATCGTTCTCATCTTTATCAATAAAGTGTATCAATTGTTGTTAAGTGTTAATCCAGTTCCAGAAATGACAAAAGCCAGGATCAAATGGTGAAAGTGATCGGGATAAGGATTATGATTAATTAGGTGGAGGAAGAGGAGGAGATTAAAATTAGGATTAAGATGAGAACTGGAATACAAATATTTATATTTAAATTAAACTGCGAGAATAACAATTAATATTTAAGTGTCACAATCAACTAATTTTTCTGGTTTTCATCTTCTACCCTACAACAATATCATCACCATTTTTACCCGCCTAACAATTTAATTGTATCTTAATGGTGTTACTTAAATTGAGTTTACAAAAAAATCTTATTGTGTTTAATTTACTGTCCATCATCAACTAACCATCAAGTTAATTCAGTTCATTATTATTATCATTATGATAGGAATAAATAATATTTTTATCAATTGATGAAGGGAAACAATATGAATAATGGTTGATTGTGTTGGTTAAATATCAACAATTTAGACTCAACTTTAATATTTATTTTAATTCTAATTACCTGTTGATTTGCTTGAATCGCAGGAAAAATTAATTGAAATCAAATCAAAGAGAAAAATAAATTATTTTTACTCCATTTTTTTGTGATTCCAATGACTTTAAATTAATCAAATTAACTAATTAAGTTTAACCGTTAATAACTTTTCCAGGTAATTTGTTACCTAATGATGGAAATAAATTGTTACATTTTCAACTAAGAGTTATTATTAAATATCATTAACAATTGTTGATTATCGTTGATCATTAATTCATAATTGTTACAATTTTTCTGTCCACAAACTACCGTTGATTGTTGATTCGATAATTGATTAGATCAAATTTAGATTTTTATATTAAATCATATTTTCTGTGATATTTTTTTTTTAAGATTAAATTGCTACTACAATTACAATTGATTCTTAAATTGGAAACAGTTAATTTGATTTGGAAAAAGAGAGATGTATACACAATTTAACGATTTTATTTCAAAGTAATTAATGGATCAACTCGTTAATGAGAGATGAGAAAGATGATTGTGAGCTATTTCCGATAGATTGTCCACAATTAAAAAATAAATTCTTTGTGAGAGAGGAAAAGAGAACCAAATTCGAAAAGTTACAGAAAAAAAGTTCGATATATTTTCTGAGCTGAGATCATAAGGATCATTCATCGTCATCTCTGTCTCTCTCTTTGTCTTTCTTTTTCTTCTTTTTCTTCTTCTTCTCTGGCTCATCTCCGGTTTCTTCAGCGGTGTCAGCTGGTTCGGTCTTAACTATCGTCGTATCTATGAAAGTTTCATCACCTATTTGTGGGGCCACTGGTTCGGCGGCGGCAGTGCCGTTTTTGGTTCCACTTGATTCACCGTAATGAGAAAAACTAGTGTACGATTTAAGCCAATCTTTGGGTGTTTTATCGTTCGGTTTTCCTTTATCATCTAGAAGACCTTCTTTGATCATCTTCTTTTTAAGAGATGCCTGAAATAAGAAAGAAATTTGGATTGTTAATTACAGGTCAAAATCGATTCAATTACAAAGAGAGAACTCACAGTTGGCCCTAAGCCCCATCTTCGAGGGTATAAATCTCGTTCCATTACAACTCTCTTGATTTTGGCAACAGCACCATGATCACAACTAGCGATTGTTGAAGTGGTCATTAGAGCGATGGCTGTGGAAATTAAAATGGAATGATCGGTTTAATTATTATTATTTGACTTAAGAATTTAGAAAATAAATGTTTACCTATGCAAATCGCTTCGCCTTTAGTTGTGATGATAACTATTTCTTGACCAATTTCAATTCCGTCATCGAATCTCAAAACTCCAGGTAACATAATTTTGGCTCCATAACAGATCGCATTAACTGCTGAATCTTTCATTATGATTCTTTTATGTGATGTCAAAAGTGCTTCTAATGGTTGGATAACTCGACGTAAATACGATTCATCATTATGATTATCGTGTAACCATTGAGCATCTAGAATATCATGCATGGAAACAAGATTATCATATTCTGTCATAATTCCGGATCGATTTCGTCTTAGCTCAATCATTTGACCTCCTGTTCCTAGAACAAGACCAATATGAACACAAAGGGTTCGAACGTAAGTTCCAGCTTCACAACTAATCCAAATGACACCAATTCCTTTATCCTTATTAAATTCTAATAATTTACTCTCATAAATTGTTCGAACTCGAAGTTGTCGCTTAACTGCACAAATTAATGGAGGTCTCTGGAAAAGTGCACCAGTTAACGTTTCAACGGCATTTAGCACTTTCTTTTCATCTTCAACAGGTCCATGGAGGCGAAATACACCAACGTACTCTTTACCTGCACCTTGTTGTGATTTAACAAGTCTAGTAGCTCTTTCAATACAAACAACCAGACAACCAGTAACTTTAGGGTCAAGTGTGCCCGAATGTCCAGTCTTTTCAACCCGAAGAATCCGTTTGATCCATGCAACAACCTCATGAGAAGAGGGATTAGAAGGCTTGTCCAGATTGATGAAACCCGATTTAATATATTCACGAATATCACGTTTAGAAGGTGAACATCCATTAGGAAGAGGAGTAAAATGATTTGATCGAATATTAAGTTTATCAAAATTTCTCAATAATAAAGGCCAATCATCAGCATTCAAGTTTCCACCAAGGGATGAGGGTTTAAGGGCGAAATCGCCATCACTGGTCGATTTTCTGTCCTTTTTCTTGGATTTTTTCTCTTTAACCGGAGAACAAACCTCCATTATCAATCCACGACAATAAGATGAACACCAACAAACAATTAAATCACAGATAAATTGAACTGAATTAAAGTGATTAACAAAAAACAAAACCACTTTTTCACGTGGTCTTTGAATGGATAACCAAAAGCATGGAGAAGATGAGTATCGATATTTTCCTATCGGGATCGGGATCGTTTTCTTTGATTCGATTGGATTTTGTTGATTGTTTTTCTGCTGCGATGGTTAATTGTGGTTTTTTTGATTAATTCAATCTTCTTTATTGTTTTGCAGAATTGATCGCTTTTTTTGGAAGGTTGTTATCTTAAGAATATGGCTGATCAACCTATGGATGGTAATTCTCATCGTGGTCCTCATGTTTCAGTTCCTCCGATACCATATGATTATTGGAGTCAACAACAACAACAACAGCAACAGCAACAACAACTTCATCAACAGCAGCAGCTTAGGGTTGGAATTCAAAATGTAATGGACTATGGTCATCCTCCATTACCACCACCTCTTCATCAACCACCTCCTGGTCTTTATCAACCACCTCCACCTTTAGCATCACTTGGACCTTTACCAATGCATTTACCGCCAAATCAACATCATCCTATGATGACAACTCTCCCTCCACCACCACCATTTGCACCACCAAATGCTCAAATTCAACCTACCTCAGTGCCCAATCCTCAGTTTTTTAGCTCTGTACCACCGCCACCTCGTCCTCCGACCACTGCCACTGCACCAATACCCCAAACACCGACTGCCACCATACCCACTTTACCCAAGGAACCAAGTCGACCCGATGTACCATATTATGAACTTCCAGCGGGTTTGATGGTTCCTCTTGTAAAATTAGAAGACACTGACTATCGACCCTTAGATCCTGAACAAATTAGACTTCCACCTCCGGCTCCACTCAGTGAAAGACTTTTACAGGCAGTTGAAGCCTTTTACTCACCACCCTCACACGAACGACCAAGAAATGAAGATGGTTGGGAACAATTAAGTTTATACGATTTTTTCCGAGTTAAATCACAAGAAAAAAAGAAGAAAGAAATTGATCGAATTTAAAACTGACATTCACAATGTTCTGTATTCGATTATCATAATAAATCGAGTTTGGTAAACAAGAGCAATTCAAACACTCAACCAGATAAGTTTTCCAAAATGTTCCGGTCGATGAAAAAATTGACCAAGTTACTAGTCAATTACAATCAAAGTTGATTTTAAGCAACAATCAAAGTGAAAATAATATTTCCATGTCTCATGAGAAATAAAAATAAATCATGATTTCATTTTGATCATATTTTATTTTGAAAAACAGAATCACTCAAGTTCATTGATTTGACATGATGATCAAAGATTAACAAAAACATCGATTAGAGTTAAAAGTTAATCTGAATTAGATTTGATTGTATCCAATGGAAGAGGATAAAGAGATAAGAAAAGAAGGTGGATAATAAAGACAAAGAGACTCTTGACTTTGATCAGAAATCAGAAATTAGAAGTAAATTGTTTTCGTTAATTTCTGTATCATTTGTAATTAACTTTCCACAAAATGGATTCAATTCTGTTAAGTTTAATTCTCATTTCGCAAGTGGTGATTAGCTTTGCCTCCAGCGGAGATTCAATCAACAATGGATCATCTTCATCATCTTCATCCTCATCTCCACTTCCTGTTGTCCTTTGGCATGGAATGGGTGACACTTGTTGTGACCCTTTGTCCTTAGGAAGTGTAATTAAGTTAATTGAGAATCAAGTTCCTTCAATTTATGTTAAATCACTTCGAATTGGTAATAATGTAGAGACAGATTTTTCCAATGGTTATTTTATGAACGTTAATGATCAGATTTCTCTTGCTTGTTCGTTGATCAAATCGGACGATAAACTGACCAATGGATTTAACCTAATGGGCTTTTCTCAGGGTGGACAATTTTCTCGAGCGTTAGTCCAAAGGTGTTCCCTTCCCGTTCGTAATCTAATCACTTTGGGTGCCCAACATCAAGGTGTCTATGGTTTACCTCGATGCACAGCGGACACGGACAATGGACTTTACTCATCGGTCTGTGACTTAGTTCGTAAACTATTATCGATGGGAGCTTATAATAGTTTTGTACAGAAAAGATTAGGTAAGAAAAGATGAAAATTTCGTTTTTTTTTGGAAAACTGATTAATTGATTAGATTGTTTCTTTTACCAGTTCAAGCTCAGTATTGGCACGATCCATTGAAGGAATCAAAATACAAGGAGAAAAGTTTATTCCTTGCCGATATTAACAATGAGAACTCATCTAAAAATGAAACCTATCGATCCAATTTGGTTAATCTGAATAAATTTGTCATGATTATGTTTGCCAATGACACTATGGTCATTCCAAAGGAAAGTGGTCACTTTGGTTACTATCAACCAGGAACTAATGATAAAATCGTTCCCATGGAGGACAGTCCATTATATACCGATGATAGATTGGGATTAAAAGAGCTCAATGACTCTGGTAAATTGATTAAATTTACTGTACCTGGTGATCATTGTCACATAAAAGATGATTGGTTCATCAACCAAGTGATCAATCCATATCTTAGATGAACTTTCTGCTAATCCATCCAACCGATTAACTGATTATTTCCACAAATTCTTGAACACTGATTGCTAATCATTTGATATATTTTCTCTCAAGCCAATAAAACGATTTGAATACTTGTAAGACTCAATATTTTGCGTTCTTCTGATTGATTAAGTGTATTTACTCAGCAATCAAGCGATTATCGATAATGTAATTAAAAGAGATACGCTCATCATGAGAACAGAACTGTTACTCATATTGAAGAAATAAATTGATAATCAAAATCTCGAAGGTTTAAATAGCTTTTTAATTTATCATTGGATAGGATGAAAATCGGTCAACACTTTGATTGCACCTTCTAATTAAAGGTGAACTGTTTTGATACACAGAACTTCATAAGTGCTGAATCCATGTTCTTCACCACCAAAGGGAATGTACAATCGTCCATGACTTGGATGAATTTTACCTATACAATGAGATCCATTATGAAAGGTTCGTCCAATATAAAGATTTTCACCTTCCATGGTTTTACCACCCTGAACGGCACCGGTTGGCGTTGCACCATCAGCCGAAGGTACCCAACAGAATTCAATACCATTGGATCGAAGAATTTGATAAACTCGATGTGGATGTTCCCGTCCAGCATACGGAATATAACAAACACCATGAGATGGAACTACTTTACCAGGGATACATTCACCTTCTTGAAGAGCTCGACCGACATAAAGAGTTTCACCGTTAATGTCCATTCCACCAACAACCGCTTCTCCATAAGGGACAAAACCACCTTCAGCATCGATCCAATGAGGCATTGGCATGTGATTTCCTGAACAATTAAACAACAATTAACAATAACAATTTACTCTTTAATCAATAAACAGCAAAAAAAACATGAGATTCTAAAAAGATTCACTTGTTGAAAGGAAGATAAGAATTGACAAGAAAACCAAACATAAACACTGAAAACAATTGGAACCAAATCACAATCTACTTACGTTTATAATAATAATCAGCCATTGTCTTGATTTTGTTGATTTAATAACACAATTAGTAATTAGAAAACAAGTCAATGAAAATCTCCAGCGAGGGAAGAAAATATGAAAAACCGATCAGATTGTTTACCTGTTGGGAGAAAGTGAATCAGGATGAGGATGAGAAATGACGTTTTTATAGATGTTGAAAGTGGAAATCTATTTAAGATAATTGAGAGAACAGAGAGAGAGAAAAAGAGAAGAAGAGAAAGAGAGAGAGAGAGAGAGAAATGAAGATCTGACGATTAGATGAGAAGTTGATGATTAAATGAGAAATCGCAATCAAATTTATCGACAATCAAATGACATGCAAAAGATGAAAAATCCTTTCGCTACTTAAACGCCCTCTTGATCGATTCTCATTTTTTTCGTTATTCTTTATTTGGATCTATTTTGTTTACTTTGATTCTAATTGCTTGTTAATTGTTGTTCTCTTTGCCCTTTGCTAATCTCTCAAATATCAATGAGTAATCTCTTTAATCAGATGCTCTTTTCATTCCAGCAAAGCAAATGAATGATCCTTTAAACCTCATGGGTGTTAATGTAAAGCATTTTTCTCAGGAATATCAATAGATTTTGTTTTCCCAAAAGGAAAAACAAATGATTTCCTTCAGTTTAACAATTTGACTAATCAACTAATTGTTATGTTTATAACAATTAACAGAATCATTATAATTTGAGCAGTTACATTTTATCATGAAATTTATTCCAACAATCAAGAGCTGAGTAAATGAGGACTGTCAAGGTAATGTTAATGTTTGATTTATGTCTCTGCCAATTGGTATTAATTTATTACTCTCGTAATTGTTGATAACAATTAATCTAGTCTATCAAGTGCCTAATAACCTTGATTAGTCTTAATCATCTAATTACTTAATTTCCTGTTGGCTATTAGCGTGTTGGTTAAGTTTAGACAATAAAGTAAACATAGTTGAACAATTTTCACCAATAAGTTGATTTGGTTTCATTTAATATTCATATGAGTTTTTTTCGTTAATTAAATTGTTCTTATTGATTGTTCTTAATAAAATAATAAAATTCAAGTTAATTATATGAAGATTATCACAAGTTATTACAAATTGATGTTGAAACTTTTCATATCTATTGATAAATTTTCTCCTTCGACAATTAACCAACAATTAACCAAATAATAACCATGGCAACAAATTAAGATAAAGACAATAACCATAAAGTGTTCCTAAAGTTTCTGTCCGAAAGTTTTCCTGGTTTCTAATAGTTTTGGATAGAGAATGTAAATAGAACTGAGTTGAACTTTAGTCCGAAGAAAATTTCATGTTAATTGTATATTTTTCTGAACAAAAATCGAAGCAATTGATTTAGGAAGAGTTCGAGTTAACCATTTACAAGTACAAAAACTCGGAAATATGATGATACAAAATGTAAATTGCAGGAGTGCAGATAATTCACCTCACAATTATATCGATTAAGTTTCTAGCATTGTCCTGAAATCAGATGAAGATGACAAACTTCTGATGAATTTTGGTTTCGATTCACTTGAAATTTAATATTAAGTTTTCGTTCCTTGGATAACAATTGAAATCGATTCCCATTCGGCACAAACGAGTACAAATGAAAACGAAACCCAACCAATAATCCTAGAATCCTAATATTCTAATACTTTAATCACCACCACCTCATGAAACTAAATTAATTAGTCAATTATCTTCTCAGTTACCTTGTAATATTTTTCCTTTTTTCTGATTCATTAATTATTATTAATATTCAGCTTATGAAATCCCTTGATAATCACAATGATCTATCGATGGATAATAAATAAGTTTATTTATATTTCTTACAACGTTACAACTAATTTTTAATTAGCTTGATTTCTTTCCACTAATTGCTTGTAATCTAAACTATTGAAGCACAAGTAAACAATTAAACAAGTAAGCAATTTGAGAATTTCTTTCTAATCAAATCTCAGCAATTAAATCTTGATAATTAATCAAATTTTTTCTTCTATTATATAAAAGATATGGTTCAAAGTTGTTGTTATCTTTTAAATGACTAGATGACAATTAACTGATTAATTGATGATGAAAGATATTCACAATGAATAAACACCTTTAATGTCTTGATAATCATTAAATTGTAAATTGTTTTTCGCTGACATCCTCATCCTGTGAGCGACCGCAGCGAGAATTGCAATTAGTCCTAATTGTATGATGATCATAATATGAGTGAAAAAATAAGCTCTTGGTTGACGAATTTCTAGAGAAAAAGAAAATTAATAAATAAGAAAGAAATTAATCAATCATAGTAACGAAATTGATTATAATTTTCCATCATAATCAAGATTAATTGTTGTACTCACCATAGAGAGTCAATGAATATTCAAACAACATCGTCGCCGATAATGAGGCTAAACTGAAGATGATTGTTGATCGTTTGAACTTAATTATCAAAATAAACGAGGCCAACGAAGTCGACAGACCAGAGATCGTCCAACAGACCAGGAGAGAGAAACAGATCACTTTGTTGGAATCGATCGGGTGGACGAAATAGGCCATTACCATGGACGCAGTTAACAGAAGAGTATAATAAACTAATAGAGGAATAATTAAAACAATTAAGCAAATTTTGAAAGTTCCAGTGAATTCAAGGTAACTCAAAGTGTTCATTTTGGTTGCATTGTATTCAGTTTTCTGTGTTAGAATCGCCATCGAGATTGTTTTTCCTAATTCACTTTAATTAGAAGACTAATTGTTGGCGAAAACAACGAGATGAACAATTAAACAATGAAACAATTGAACTTAAGTGAAAAACTATGAAAACAAATCAACAGTTAGAGTTAATTGTTAATCATAAACTGAATCATTTGTTTAGTTGTTTGTTAATTTTTTGTCTTGTTGATTAAAATCATTAAATCATTAACCTTTATCACCTTTTTTTTTAATATACATTTATATTTAATCACTAATATCAACATGATGGTTAATAACTATTGTGTTTAATTGTTGGGATTACAAGGCTATCAAGATTAATTTAGTTGATTCTCTCGATATGTTTTCAATAAAAAATGTTGATGATGTTTCATTGATGTTAATACATAAATTTTTGTAAATTATTGATTTTTGTACATTTAAATTTAACAAATTGAGTTAATTGTTGAATTATGTTGATCACGTTGATTTGTTTTGGTTCCGAGACTTTGTTTCCATTGGGGTTTAAGATGTTAAACATGATTAACAAATTATCTGGATAACATGACGACATAAATAATCAGGAATCAAAGTCCAATTGAGATGGAGTAACAATTAACCGAAACAATTAAAATTTACCAATTTTCTCTTCGTCGTAATCTTTTTCGCCTTTAAATGGTTTGTATTTTGGATCTGAGAAGAATTTTTTCTTGTAGAGAAAATTTCTAATTCGATTAGAAAATACGTAAGAAACAATTATGCGAATTGGTTCAGTGAAAAGATACAGTGTGATGGTAAATAATTTCCATGGATTTAAATCATCAGGTAAATCGAAATACGAAATTAAGTCAACCAAATTGATTCTTTCAATCAAATCCAATGCAAAAGGTGTTGACATTATGTAAACAGATCCTCCGGCCGCTAATGCTGAAGATATCACATAAATTATGGAACCAGAGGCGAGTCTTGTTGAAACTTCCCAAAAAGCTTGTCCTTTCACATTAAAATCTTCAACAAAATAACCTTTGATTTCTTTGTTTTTATTAATCTTCGTTAATTGTTTACCAATTTTCTCTGAACATAAACAACGATGAGAGTCAAATGTTGAGACCAATGGTTTACAAATAACCGATTGGAACAGTGATGATTTCGTCCGACAACAACCTCTTAACCATAAATTAATCATAATTAGATCAATGACAGAATTATCAATTCTACTAGACAACAAATTAATTGATCAAAATCACCAAATTAAAATTATCTTTTCCAAAAAATCAAAACAAACCGGCAAATGGATCCGATATTTACTCGGTTAAGATCCGAATCCAAAAACATGTGTTGATCAACTTGATTTTTTTAAATTCTTGTTGATGTTTTTATTTTTGTCTCTTACCTTTAATTGTTAATTGTGTTTATATTTTCAGTTAATTAACATTTTTCTATCAAACTAATGATCGATAACCATGTCTACATCTATAAGTAGCTTTTCTGAAAAAACAAATTTGTCAAATTTATGTAAGTAAACAATTTAAATTCTCAACTCATTTTTTTCTTCATCTTTTTCTGTCTTTTGTCTTTAAATGAAATTTGTCTGTACTAATCAATTCACTGATTATTTTGTCATTTTGTAGATAAAAATGATGACAAAAATGAAAATGGAAATCGCTTGAGTAACTATCGTAAATCTTTGTACGAGGATTCAGAAGATATTCAAGATGATAAACCAATTCAACTTTCTAGCAAATTAAAACATGGTAAACTTGGTGGTTACCTTAATTATATGAGTCCACATGACATGTTAAACTCAGTCCAAGAACAATATATTAAATTACATGAGCAAGACTTAGACGTAAGTACTTTTTTATACCCTATTATCTTATATTATTATTAATATTTTATCTTTTTCTGTAACTTTTTCAGGCTAAGAAAGTGATAAAAGCAGGATTTGAAAAGGACAATTTACCAATCAAGAAGAGGATTAAAACAAAAGGCAAAGGATGGTTTGATTTTCCCGAAAATGAATCAAAAGAAGTTGAAAAAGATTATCTTGTTATTCAGATGAGAAATGCTATTGATCCAAAGCGTTTCTACAAAAAGTCCGAACACAAATCTAAAGCTATTCCCAAGTTCGTTCAAGTTGGTACTGTGGTTACCGATGCTCACGATTTCTATGATAGAGCCACAAAAGCGGAAAGAAAACCAACCTTGGTCGAGGAATTGTTAGCAAATGTCGAAAGTAAAAAGAAGATAAAGAAAAGATTCCGAGCCGTTAAGCCGATGATCGCAAAGAAGAGAGTGAAAGAAGAAATAAACAAAAAACACCAACAAATTAAAATGAACAAAAGGAAACACACCAAAGGTCGGAAGTAATTAGTGAACAATTTAATTTAATTCTTTAAAGTTCCATTAAACGTTTAATTAATCAAATGAACAAGATTCACTTGATTTCAACCAAATCCAGTAGCTCCAGCTAAATGATTACCAAGGTGTTGTTTAATTGATTGATGTTTGAAAAACAGTGGATCATGAATGACAGGTTGATATGTTTTAAAGATTCTGTTGAAATGAAATTACAATTAGCAACAATTAATTGGGATAAAAATTAAAACTTTAAAAGTAAACTTTACTTACGGAATAGGTAAAGGTAAAGGTAATGGTAAGGGGAACATTAATTTCTTATTTTTGGCCGCAATGAAAAGCGCCAGGCCAATTTTCTTGGCTAATTCAATCTTGCGACGATGACCAAATCCAAGATGAAGGTGACCATTGACTTCGGGAAAATTAGTGATTAAAATCAACACAGTTAACACAATTAACGGTCCAACATAAGTAAAAGTTAATTTGATTCCCTTGGATGTCATTGATTATCACTGATTTAATTTTCTTTGGATTGAATTTAATTATTTTTTTCTCAACAAGTAAAACAAATGACACAATTTAACAAACTAGATTAACTTTTTACTCTCAATATAATTCTTGTTGCATATAATCATGATTAAAACTATGATGGTTAACTGTTAATCCTTGTTGATTATCAACTGGTCAAATGATAAATAGACTTGAATGATTGTAAAATTTTTCTTTTAAATGTAATTGTCCATCCAATCAATTCAACTGACCACCACCTCTACCACCCATTTATTGGTCAGCTTTTTAAAAGTAAATTAATTAGTCTAAAAATAGTCTTGTTAAAAGAAAAGTAAAATTTAATTGTAATCCAATACTACTAATGACCTGATATTGTCAATTAAAATCAGTAGTCGATATGGTCATCGATTGTTTAATTTGAGTGACCACAGGAAGTAGGACAAAAGGAGGAATCAAAAAAAAGAAATGGTAACAAGCAAGATAATCAACTAATTACTTTGATAGTTAGTCATCATCAAGTAGCATGTACAATGAATAAGTATTAATTGTGATCATTGAAACAATAACAGACTTAATTAGATTTATTTTCGTTAATTTAATCCAAAAATGAGTAGAAACTTTTGATTTAATTGACTGACCACAAATTTATACTCATTGTAGCAGAATGAAAAATGATCAGTTGATTGTTAATTGTTACTATTATTGTTACTATTTAGTGAATCTACAATTTTCAACTCTCACTCTAATTGTCTTGTGCCATCAACTGTCAACCTAATGATCAATTGTTGATGACAATTTAAGAAATCACAATACCTGATTGTAATCAGGTTTTTACTTAATTGCAATCAAAGTGCTTCTAATTAAAGGACAAAATTGCAAAAATTAAGTTTATTATTACCAATACTTTTATCACTGAATTAAATTAACAATTAACACTTGATCATTAAGACCATGGGCTTATCAAATAGGTTAATTGTGATAATATTGATTGATTGTTTAAATTGTAATAACTTTTACTTTGAAAAAAAAAACAATTAACCAGAACTACAATCGGTTTATTTTCAGTGCTGATCTAATCATCAACTAAATTAATGATCATTGAGACATTGGTAGTAATTAATAGATGATCAAATTGATTTTTTGGTTAATTGTTACATATTAATGATCAAAATTAATTTAATTAATATGATTTCCATCATCAACTAGATTACATCAATTAACTTTCTAATTTAACAAATCACCATCACTCCTGTGGTAATCAAAGGGACAGGAATAAAACTAATTGTAATTAGATTAAAAATATCAGCAAGATAATTAGCTTGATTTACATTTGATTGTCATCAATTTAATAAAAAGGCAATGAGGTGGATTAATCAAATTAACCCTGAATTAATTACATCGGTAGATGATAATAACATTGTTATTATATATATAACTGAAAGTTTGTCAAATCTAGTTAATTGTTGAGTTAAGAAATATACAGTTAATTGTTCAATTAATTTATATATATATTGATAATGATTAATTTACCTTTGATTGTCTATTGTTTGCTAATTATCATTCAATTTAATAAAGTGATTGGTGATAATTCAGTTGATCCCGATACAAATCGTGATATTGTTGAATTGATTACTTCCAGAGGATTTGATTATGAAGTTCATTATGTTACAACGGAAGATAATTATATCCTTGGTGTTTATCGTATAGTTAATCCGTTTGTCGATCAGGCCAAACGGAAGCAACTTCGGCCTATCGTAATTCAACATGGATTCATTAGTTCAGGAGAAACTTTCTTAATTAACTCACCTGATGGATTTGCTGTTCCATGTGATCCAGATGATCAATTTTTAGACCAATTAACTGATGACGATAATAATACTCGAACTAACAATTTAGGCTTCTTATTGTCCAATCGTTGTTACGATGTTTGGCTCGCCAATTCAAGAGGAAATCAATACTCACGAAATCATACAACTCTTGATCCAGATAAAGGTAAGTCGATTGAAAGAACGAAACAATTTCTAAATGTCCATTTTTCGAATTTCATATTGACCAATAGATAAAGAATTTTGGAACTTTTCTTTCGATCAAATGATACAATACGATACACCGAATTTGATTGATTACATCTTGGAATTAACTGGACGAGGTTAGTGTAACAATTAGTTTCCTCCAACGTTTCTTATAACTATTGGTTGATTGTATATAGAGAATCTTGGTTGGATTGGACATTCGCAAGGTACTTTGATCATGTTCGGACTTTTATCTGAGAGGCCAAATTACTCTTTAAAGGTGAAACCATTTATCGCTTTAGCACCGGTGGTTTATGTTGGTAATATATTACCTGCTCTGCGAATCGCTGCTGCCTTGCCCTTTGTCCTTTATTCACTTCGTAAAACGGGCGGTGAATTGGGCGATGGAAGTTCAATATTATCGATTACAAGTGAATTTGTTTGCAATCGATGGGAACCAATTGTTTGTGAGAACTTGATTTATCCATTGAAAGGATATTCGCCTGATCTATTGAATACAACTCGATTGGACGTTTATCGAGCTCATTTATTTTCGGGTTCAACTTCGGTTTGGGATTTGGTTCATTTTGGACAAAATGTCAATAAGAAAACTTTCATCAAATTTGACTATGGAACAGCTGAGAATAGAATTCATTACAATGGTCCAACTCCACCCAAATACAAAGTGTCGCAGATCAATTCAACCCAATTGGCGCTTTTCCATTCAAAGGCTGATACCTTAGGCGATGTTAAAGATGTCGCTACTTTGATTAAAGATTTGAAAGGTTAGAATTTGATTATAACGAAGAAAAGTAATCACAATTAATTTAATTCTCTTACAGTTCCATTGTTCCGAGATTATGAAATTGCAATTCCAACTTGGGATCATCAAGATTTCATTTATGCCGATAATCTTTACGAAGTGGTTCATGTTGTTATTCTTGATGTACTTCGACAATCTCAATTGTTAGAACTAAATCTAACTGATAGCAATAAGAAAATTAAATCAATCTAAATTGTACAAAGAAAAATAAATTTAATCTAATTGTAAATCCTTTTAATCTCGATGATCCATCAAATCAGCACAATTACATTATAATCTACGCTTTTTGGTTGATGGAAAAGTTGATAAACTAATTCAATGGGTGTTAATATAATCCAATTGATCTGATTTCTAATTATTAAACATCAACAACAATTTATCTTAATCTTCCAACCAGAATCATCTTAATTGTTTTGTACACAATTGTTAGCACACTAGATTTATATGTAATCCTAATTTGACACTTTTGATTTTGTCTTTTTTGATTGCAAAAGTTAATTCGTTAATTGTTGGTGATCTTGAGGAGGTTAATTACTTGAGTTTAAAGTGCAATTAAATCGTTGACGTTCAAATGGTTTCCATCCAATGTCAACAATTTGTTAATTTTTTACCTTTTCTCTCTAATCCATATCTTCCAACTAATAATTAACTGATTGTTAACAGTTTCACAATTAACAGTTATTGCTACAAGTTATTTGAGCCATTAACTCATTGCAAGCTCTCCTTACTACAATTAAACAACAATTAACTAAATTGTTTACGGAAACGAATGTAAAAAGACAAATTGTCTTTATCTTCATATTGACCCAAAATCATTAATTGTAAATCATTACGATTTGATAATTAATTGTCAATTCCATAAAGAAAATTAGTTAACATCTATTTAGATTATCAATAAATTAATGAACGAGATTTTTAACTTGTCAAAAAATTAACTCTTGATAAGCAAAATTGATTATAATTTAATTATTTTCTATCATTATTAACAATACAATCAAGGCTTTTGAACAATTTAACTTGAACGATCAACCCAAATGATTGTCCGATGCGGTCAATAAATGTCCCTTAGAAAATGTAACAATCATTACATTCAGTTAATTAAATCAACTCTTTATGAGACAATTAGTTGTTCACTTGATTATTGGTTAATTGTTAACTGGTAGAAGTAAAAATTGAATAAATTGTTCAATTCTAATTTAAAGTGTCACCAAATTGTGGTTTTTACTCAACAATTTATGACGGATCAATGAATTCAACCAGTTAACTAATTGTGAATAGTAAATTACATTTAAATTGTTGTAACAATTGAGAGTGAGAAGGTGAGAAAATAAAATCATTAAATCAACTTTTTTTTTCATTGATTGTTGTTGTTTATGGTTAAGATTTGAAAGTGTTACTACTTGTCAAGTGACAATTTTATTTGATTATTTGTGACTAATTGTGATTGATCAACCAGGAATGAACATCTTCCCAATCATTCACGTTCTAAGTGTTGTACTAAATTTAACCAACGGATTAAATGAAACAAATAGTTCACAATTAACGGAGCCTTCGCCATCTTCATTGTTACAGGGGGAAGTTCAACCTTATCCCTTAGGTCATCCAACAGAATCTCAGCTGATTAGTGATTCTGATGTTCTGATGCCTCAGTCGTCTGAAAGTGCTAATGTTTTCCCCTATTTAATGAGTCGACCAGTTTTCACGGAAACACTTAAATCGTCAACTCAAGAAACTTCCGGTCAACATAAACATTTGAAAGAATCAGACTCTGGCTGGAAACAGGGTGATTCTGATAAATGGTCAAAACATGGAAACGAACAGGAATCGGGAAAACAACGAAATGTCCAAAGTCAAGGATCACATTCTGATGGTGCACATAAGTAAGTTAATAAATGACTCGAATAATCAATGACGATGATCTTTAATTTGTTCATTTTAATTTTCGAAAAATCCTAAAGAAAATCTTCTGGTCATGATAATCGAGATGCTGCTCAGAAATGGAAACAAGGTTCAGAATCAAATGACCACGAAGATGAGAAATTGGTCGAAGAATATAATAAGAATAAAGGTCGAGTGTATGAGAAAAAATGGTCATGGGAAAAAGAAAAAGGCTCCAGACATGGTTGGGAGAATCAGGGTCATTCTAATCGCGATCATTTGAAAGGTTCAAATAATCGAGAATATGAATCAGGATCGAAAGGTAATCAAGGAAAAGAGAATTGGTCACAAGAGAAGAAAAAATCTCATAAACTCGAAGATAATTATGGAAAAAAATTCGATTCTAAAGGTTCAAAGGAAGAAGCCAAAGATTCACATGATCATCATGATTCTGGAATCAATCAATTTGATGATTCACATTATCGGAAACAATTTAGTTACCTTTAAATTGACCATTTAAATTTAATTTCCACGAAAAGCCCAATTGAATTGCCATTCATTCAACAAAAGAAAACAATCATTTGTTCAATTTGTTTACATATCAACATGTTAATCATCGTATTTATTTTCCTTCTCATTAAATTCAACTAAAAGTTCATTTAAATTCATCACTTAATTGTCTCTATTTGTATCTGATTGTTTCTAAGAAAAATTAAGAAGAAAACATGATCGTAATTATTAATTCGTCCCTCGAAATGAAGCATGGGTTCAAATTGTATTTTCTATCTCCATGTTTCCGTTTGCAGAATTTGGATTGTTAGGTTAATTTAATTGTCTTTTTTTGTGTTTATATTCAATCAATTAGAACCAATTTATAATCAAAATGTTAATTCTTTTCGAATCAGCGATTGGTTATGCTGTTTTCAAGGTAAGTCTTTGTTATTTTGTTGATTTAATGAACGAAAGAATAACTTTTTCTTTTTCTCAACTTGGTTTACATTTTTTTCCATTTTCGTTTTCAAAGCTTAAAGATGACAAAAAATTGGAAAAAGCTGATAAGCTTCATTCAATTTTCAATGATCCCGATAAAGCAAATAAACTGCTTAGTTTACAAGCTTTCGATAAATTTGCTGATGTTACTGAAGCCGTCGAATGTGCAACCGCTTTGTTGGAAGGAAAAGCAAGTAAAAGGTTGAAAAAGTTAATAAAGAAACTTGTTGCCAAGGAGCCGAATGAAATTGTTGGTGTTGCTGATGCTAAATTGGCCACTTATATTAAGGATAAATTCAATGTGAAATCTGCTTCAACCGCCGCTGTTCAACAATTAATGTCATGTATTAGGTTGAATGTAGAATCTCTTATTCCCGAATGGTCACCTTCAGAAAATGAAGCCATGGAAATGGGATTAAGTCATGGGTAAGTTTAATTTTTCAGTTCTCAAGTTGTAAAGATTTCTAATTAGTTCAAATCTTTACTAATGAACTTTATTCGTCAAATATGTTCCCTCTTCTTTGACTTACTATCACTTAAAACTGAAATGATGGATAACTTTGTGTTTGATACATAATGATAAAAACAATTGTTTTCGTCACTACATCTGATCAGTGGTTATTTAAATTCTTAGGTCATCAATCATGTTACCCTCATTTAATTCAAATTTTTCTCTTTTCCATTTACTTTCACAGCATTTCCAGGTACAAACTTAAATTCAGTGCAGACAAAGTGGATACAATGATTATCCAAGCAGTTTGTAAGTATCCATTATATTTTCTTATGGAATCAACATATTGCCTTGAGCTAATCGTGATTCGATCTATCATATTTTTTTCCAGCTCTTCTTGATAACTTAGACAAAGAATTGAATAATTATATCATGAGATGCAAAGAATGGTATGGTTGGCATTTCCCCGAATTGGCCAAAATTATTCCCGACAACACTACCTACATTAAAGCCGTTCTTAAGATGGGTAAGTTACTCTCAACTACCTGTTGATTCAACTTTTATTAATCTTTTTCTTTTCTCTCCATTTTCTAATTTTCTCTTTTCCGTTAGGTATTCGTACCAATGCTGCATCTTGTGATTTTAGTGAATTTTTACCTGAAGAGCTTGAAAAAGAATTGAAAGAACTGGCTGAAGTCTCCATGGGTACTGACATCGCTTATGAAGATATGTTGAACATTGAACATTTATGTAGAAATGTTTTAGATATGCAAGAGTATCGAACTCAATTATACGAATATCTTAAAAATCGTATGATGGCCATTGCTCCAAATTTAACCATGTTGGTCGGTGAATTAGTTGGTGCTCGTCTTATCACCCATGCTGGATCATTAATTAATCTTGCCAAACATCCTGCTTCAACAATTCAAATTCTTGGCGCTGAAAAGGCACTTTTCAGAGCTCTTAAAACCAGACACGACACTCCTAAATATGGTCTTATCTATCATGCTCAATTGGTCGGTCAATCTACTGCCCGTGTCAAAGGAAAAATGTCTCGTATGCTTGCTGGTAAATCGGCATTAGCTTGTCGTGTTGATGCTATGGGAGAAAATCCTGGTGCTAGTTTAGGAACTGAGCATAAGGCTAAATTGGAAGCTCGATTAAAAATTTTAGAGGAAGGTAAACTTCGTAAAGTTAGTGGAACTGGTAAAGCTCAAGCCAAATGGGATAAATATGAGAATAAATCTCAAGTACAATCTTACAAATCGGGAGCTGATTCCACTTTTACAGGAAGTAAAAGAAAATTCGATGACAACAAGCCCTCTGGTTCTGGAACTTTTGGTAAACTTGCGACACCTGTTAAAAAAGAAGACGATGACGATGATGATGATGATGAAAGCGAAGATTCTTCAGAGGAAGAGGCAAAAGCCCCACCAATGTTTTCAGGAGCCAAGAAAGTTAAACAAGAAACTCCCAAAAAAGCAGCACCAAAACCAGCTAAAGATGACGATTCAAGCAGTGAAAGTGAAGACAGTGATGATAGTGATTAGTTTGAGCCTTATCATATATCTGTACAGTTTCACATCAAATAAACGGGCTCATTTTTATTTTCATTCAATCATTAAACATTTAAATCAATTAAAAATCAATTAATCATATCAACCCTCGAAATCTTACAATTTAATTATTAGAAAAAAACAAACCATAAACATGATAAGAAAACCTCAATTATATTAAAAGGTCAAATGGCCTAACCAAGAATCGAAAATCTCATCAAAGAAAATGAACCAATTTGATGACTCACACCGAACAATTAATTCTGATTAACATGAGCAAGAATCAATCCTGATTTTCAAAGAGCGCGCTCATTTCCGATCACCTGTTTTGTTACCAAAACAAATAAATTGTTGATTTAAACCAAATTGATTAAAGAAGATGAGCCAAAGTCCAATTCAGTTATTTTGTTGATGTTGTTTGTAGGTTTATTGTTGATATTTGTTAATTTTTTAACCTCTTTTACCCATGGATTTTAGACGTCATTCTATCCAATCATTAAAATCTATTAAATCAACAAAATCTTCCAAAGAAATTCAATCCAAGAATCTTTTGTTTGGCAAGAATTGGTTTGACATTTATCTCTCTTACCAGAAATCAATATTACCCATTGATGAATCTTCTTTCACACTTGACATTCTCCGTGATTTATTTGATGAAGAAGTTAACGATGTAATCAAGTTACACCTTCTCTCCCTATTGGAGCAACATTTCTGGTTAATCTCAGACTCTGAAAAGTAATTTAATTCAGTCCGTTATGGTTATCTAGTCCTTTGAATTAATCTGTTTGATTATTTTCTTGTTTCAATACATACAGGTTGGAACAAACAATCGGCTCGTTAATCAACATATTCCAGTCCAGCAAATCTAGTGAAATCGTCAAATGCAAATATCTTTATACTTGTACCGTTTTATGGACATGCCAGTTTGATCTAGTGAGAGAAATTGATTCCGTTTTTAAATTTCATCTCATCTAATCAATTGTATCTTTCGTAATCCTACCCAATAGGTTGCCGATTCATTACAGAATCTACTGAAGAGCTTTGTAAAAACTTTGGTGGTTTTATCAAATATAAAAGAGAAGAAAAATCTCTCCAATGCTGCTTGTCAATGTTTAATCCAATTGGAAGATTTCAAACCAGGAATTATATTTAATTATGTGCCCGATGCCACAATCCCTCGTAATCATCCGACTTTATTGTGCCTTCTATTGAAAAATGGTTCTTCATTCGATCCAACCATAATTAAACAGCTGATTGGTAGTTTACCTCGTTACAATACTGATCCTTATCGTTTACATACAATATTGAACTACCTGTTGGAATTGATTGAATCCAAACGACAGGCGATATTAACACCTCTCATCTTCAAGCAGTTTCTTCCGCTTTTCATTCATTCAACTGAATCATTTCATCTTCATTTCTCTCTACTTTTATTGCGATCTTTTGGCTTGGAACTATTTTCCACTAATGAGGAATTAGGATTATTACATAGATTAATTAGTCTCTGTGCTCATCCCTCACTGGTGGTTGCTCATCGTCTTTTGTTTCTCGATTTTGCTAAGTCACTATTGCCGATTTTACGATCTTCTCATTTGGCTGATCATCGTCTCTTTGCCTTAACTCCCCTTGATGGACCAGATACTCAAGAAAAGAAACTGATGATTCTTTGTCAAACAGATATTTCCGATATTGACCTGATTTCTAACCTCAAATCCATCGGAAATTTTAATGGACAAAAGGTGAATCGCCGGTCAACAAATGCTCTCTATCGTCAACTTTATTTCTTTCTAACTGTAAGACCTGAACTTCAGTCGTCAATTGAAGGTTTTCTGATTCATCTTATGCTGACCAACCCATCGCTTCATATTCCTTATGCGTTGTGCCTTCTCGATCGATTACCGGTTCTTTCGGCTCATGTATCATCATCTCTAATCTCTAAATTATTAGACATGACAACATTACCAAGTGAAGAAGAAAAATCTCACCTGAAAGAATATTTTCTCGCAATCAAATGGATTCTCCGTCAACCTCGAAAACTATTGGACTCGGAAAAAATGATCGCCATTTTAACCTTTTGCTATAAAGCAGCGAAACAATTTCCATCCATGTGTAAAGATTTACTTGCAATAATCGCAGTTGTGATTCGTCATCAAACAATTGATGAAAATCTGAAAAATTTACTCAATGAGATTCTTAATCTATTGATGGCAAACAAAAATCGTGTTACAATTTCAAGTTGGTCACAAATTTACTCGATCGCTTTAAACACATTACCAAGTCAAGAAAATCTAAGGAAAGTTTTCTGTGAAGAAATTTCTGAAGATGATGAATCGCCATTACTGATTTTCGATCCAAAATCAAGTTCCATTCCGTTGACAATTCATGAGATTAAATGTAGACCAGAACCAGTAGATATCGAATGTCTAACACCAATCACAATTCCATACACACTCAAGGTTTCATTCAATACAATTTCCATGGACGAAGAGATAATCCAGAAATTATTCGCCATAGAAATCAGATTAACCTGTTCATCTCAAGAAATTGATTCGATAATTAATATCCCGGTTTTAAAGAAAAACGATTTCAAAGTCTACCAACTCAAATTAGCTCCAAATCGAGTTAAACCATTTACCCTAAATTGTGATCTTCGTTTCGGTGATACAAACGGTGTTACTTACTGTTGTCCACAATTTAGCAGTGAAATTTTTTCATTTGAAAGATTCATGATTCCACTGAAATGTAATGAAAATCAATATGATTCCAGTTGGAATGGTTTACTCAAGCAACTTGATTGTCACCTAACTGTCCAATGTTTCCCTAATTACAATGATTTGGAACAATTTCTAACAGACAATGAACCATTTAAAGATTATCAAATTGCACCAGGAAAATTTGCCATCGGTGTTGCTCCCAATAAATTACTTCTCATCCGATCAATAATTGTCAATGGTAACCTTAATTTCCGGATGCTCACCAATTTGGATAAAATATTAAAATATCTTTACTATCTATTCAAACAGAACAATTAACAACTACAATCTAATCAACATTATACCAACAATTATATCATGAAACGAAAAACAAATTCACAATTTTTTATCAACTTTTTACTTGTTAATCAAAATAAAATAATTTTCTGACCAATTGTTTTTTCATTTTGAATTTGCCGCTTTTCGGTTTCGTCTACGAACAAGTTACAAAGAAGTGAAAAGTTTCACCAAAATCGAGGTTGAATGTAGAAATTTTGAAGAAGTTAAAAAAGTAGCTCCTCATTATTGAGATTTTAAATTGTTGCATAAATGCAACTGAAAGTTTCCGAGAAACTCCAAACAATCAACCACCAAAACCCTAACCAACAATTCATGTAACACCAAATCGATTGAGAATCAACTAATAATCACGCTGATTTTTTTAAACAATTAAAATTCTGAGCCAAAAGTTATTAATTTACTCATAATCTTTTTTTTGTATGATACCTTAAATCACAATCAAATTTGTTCCCAGAATCATAATGCCAACAAACATACCACTAATTAAATTAATCAAATAAAAAAAATCAATTTTACCAACAAACATTAGTAGTAATTAGAGTTAATTGTTTATTTGTTTTCATTTACAATTTAGACAAAATTGTTATATATTAATTTCTATAAATGAAGATGAAGAACAAAAAAAGTTCATTTGTCCATGAAGATGATTAAATCTGAGGTTTGTTGTCATTTTCGAGTGTAAATAAATAAAAAAAAACAGAAAATTAAATTAATGTTACAATTTGGTGATGAGAAATTGCGAGAAAAACGTGAAATCATCTTGATTGTAGCTGATTAACTGATGCTGATTAATAATCAGTTACATGTTGATTCACAATAAACAAATCTAAATGATTAACCCAAAAAGCAAAGGACAATTAAAAAAAAAAGTTTGGATCACATTGATTTAAATTGTAACTTTTTGTCTGTCATGATCATGATCATCGAGATAAATTGTAAATCAATTGGTTGATGAAATAAAAATGATTAACATGGTAATGGCAATGGCAATGAGCGAATCAGGCTTTTCATGATGAGGAATTTCCCATGAAATTCATGAGCATTTAACGAATGTACGATGTTTTAATTAACTTTTATTGCTTCCAATTCAATTGTGATGTTATATTTACATTTATTAAACCTGAAAATGAAGAAATAAACAAAAATGAGATTAGTGATTGTGGATTAACAAAAGGATTTAGGAATCAACTTTATCATTACGGTTACGATAACATTACATGGGATATAATTTGAGGTGCACTATTAGGATGAAGATGATGATCATGGTGATAGAGGAAAATTATCCATTAGGCAAGAAGATATTCAATCAATAAGAAAAAAAAAGCAGAAAATACAACAACTTCCCAATCCCTAATTTCTATCATGTATTTGACTATAATCAGAATAGATCATGATGATGACATTGGATTGATTTGGATGATGGAATTCATCAATTCAATATCAATCCATCTTCCATTCCAATAGAATAACAAGAAAATATCGAACATGATAAGTAATTCTTTCATTCTTTTTCTCTATCATTTGCCAAACAATCGCCATCATCATCATCATCATCGGCTTAACACTCTTTCAAACATCATTATCTTCACCATAATATTATTATATTATCTTCCTTATCATCAATTTCATCATCTTTTCTCAGGTAAATCATCGTTTATGAAGTTTATTTATCAACAATCATCTTCATGAATTTGGTTCTTTTGATTATTATTATTTTCAGTAGATTATCAGGGAAACTTAAACTCTCATGCAAATGCAATTCAAACTCAGATTCATTAACAATTCAGGTAAATTTGTCTTTTCACTTGAAATTAGTATCTGAACTTTTTTTTACCAAATGTTCATCTTCAACTGTAACGATTATCATGAAAATGGTTTAAAAAATTGAAGAAAAAAAATGAGAAAAGCAAGGATACATTTCGCTTAATGTTTCCTTGGATATGAATATAATCTCATTGGAAAATGAATGTTCAGAGCAAATTGTTGACCATATTATCAAGGAACAATTTATAAACCAATCAATAGACAAGAAACTGGACAAGAGAAAGAGTTGATCTAATGTTGTGACGCGAGAGATTGACCATTGACCAGGAAAAAAGAGAGAGAGAGAGAGATGAAAAACAACCAACAAAAAGAGCAGAAAATCATGGAAGACAAGAAGATAACAAAAGAAGACAGGGAATGATGATCGAGAAGATGACAAATGTGATAAATAGCAAAAGGAAAATCAGGAAAAATCCAGTCAACCAATTGAACTGATTTTGTTTTTTTTATCGATTTAATTATGAACAAAGTTACTGGGAATTCATTTTACAGTTTCATATACACAGTTGATGCTAAATTGTGATCACACTTTCATTAATATGTATTATCATTAATATGTATTATCATTTTGACATTGGATGATGATGATGATGATGACGATGCCAGCGATCACTGATAAATCAGAAAAAAAGAGGACGATAGTCAATGAACCAATAACAAGAATGATAAACTCGGAGTGTCCATGTTAACTCAATATTATTGTCTTCCAGATTTATGGTGATTGATATTGACATCAAGTTTGATGGTGGACATTAGATATGATATCTTGGACTCTGGAATATATTGTTGACCACAATATCACTTGGACAGCATCTCCTCTGGTACGTTGATCATTATCCTCATCATCTTCCATCCAACATCTTAATCATTTGACATTTTAAATCTTTTGCTGTAGAAAATTTTTCATATCTTGTTACCAATTTTCTCATCTCAATCTACATGATTATCGTGATTTGTTCATCCAATTATGATACAATTCTAATAATAATAAGATAATATTTTTGTTTTCCATCACCATTAATGGTAAATAAGTTTATCGATTGAAATGTTGATCGTTAGGAGAAAGAAATTGGGAAAATTAGTGGACAATATTAATTGGAAGCAAATCGAAATCACTAATACAAAATCTAATCATCTGATCTAAAATCTATGAGTTTTTCTTTGCTTCAATTAACTTGGTCTCTTTTTATATAATCAAATAATCACCCAAATGGTCAAACCTCAAATTCTGACCCTCAACTATCTGAAACAATATTTTCACCATTATTATTTTGGTGAATATAATAGTCGGTGGTCAGCATCATTTAAGATTATTAATCAATAGGGGAAATTGAGTTTTCCTTTTGTCTGTCAACAATCATATCAAAACTAATCCATGAATGTCCAACAATCAACTCTCATTCTCAAGCTAAAACTTACAATAAGTGTTTGTGTCAATTAGATGACATTTTTTTTTCCTTGATGAAGATGGATAGAAATTGGAAATTTTCATCTTGACCAATCAAAAACAATCCAATTTAATTGACTACCATCATCATCTTCATCTTCATCTTCATCAACAGAGGATAAAATGATCAATATCAACATGAGATTATCTTTCATTGGAATGAACAAAAAAAAAGTTAATTCTCAAGTGTAAATGATAATCATTATAACGACACAATAAAATTATCCATGTAGATTATTTATTCAATTATATTATTGTTAAGGAAAAATGTCAAAGGTTGATAATAATATTGATGGAAAATTAGATTAAGATAAAAGGTAAGATTGTAATGAGATGATGATGAGATACTAATTATTATTATTATTTAATTTGGTATTTTAATTTTCTCTCATTAGTTATATTGTTATTACTCATTGGTTGTATTCTATCGTTTCATCAGTATGATTATCACAATTCATGATTCTGAAAATTATCATAGTAATAAGCTCATTTCAAATGAATTTTACCTCTTCCACCCAATCCAAACCTCTTTTCTCAACTGATCCTGCTAAGAGTGACAGATTTAACCCCAACTATTACTAACTAGTAACTGTGTTTGCATCACTTGATACTGAATTTCTCATTTCCCATTGTTTTCAGAATCTCCAGAATTTTTCTCAACTTTCCCCTTCTCTCTCTCTCTCTCTCTCTCTCTCTCTCTCTCTCTTCTCATCATCTTCTTAGATTATTTACCTTCTTGTTTCATTCTTTTCTCAACCGTGAATCCATGGTAACTCAGGCGAGTTAAGAAGATAAGATTTTTTTGGGTAAAGAAAAAAACCTCTTTTCTCTCTCTCTTTTCTTCTGCTCTCTCACTTTTTCAAATCTCGACACACAAGGTAAGTGTATTTACTATAATCAACAGCAGAAATAAAACAACAAATGATAAACAGAAAGAAATAATATTAAGTAACAATTGAATCTTTCTCTTGATTTATCCTAATTTAACTATTACTATTTCTGATTACAGGGTCACAACCACCCGGAGTTAAAGTTGACGTTTGACCTTTTCTTTTATTTATCTTTTTTTCCTCTGTACATTTATATATTGCATAAACGAGAGTGAGAGAGAGAGAGAAAGATGTTATTACTTATATGAAGAAGAAAAATGATTCAGAATCCAGGGAAAATCAAGAAGTTTTTTCATCCATGAATTTTGTTCTTTCTCTTTAGTCTCGAATTCAAGGTGTATTAATAGAGAAAATGTGAATATGAAAAAGACGAGAAAGAGAGAGAGAGAGAGAGAGAGAGAGAGAGAGAGAGAGAGAGAGAGAGAGAGAGAGAGAGAGAGAGAGAAATTTGGAAAATGAAAATGAAAAAGATGATAATGGTGAAGATGGAAAAGAAGATGAAACTAATACGCAGGAAGGAAGATACTACATGATGGAAGAAAATAACATTCCAATAGAAGAAGACGCATTCTCAATGGAAGAATAAGATGGTAACTGGAAACGACAGAAAAGAAAAAGAATCTTCCATTTCTTCTTACCAAAATGTTCTTTCTTATCATCAATACATAACGTCATCACTTTCACTATCATCAGAATGTTATATTATTCAAAGAGAAGACAAAATTTTCTTCATGAGTCTAATGTTCAACTGAGAGCATAATGAAAACTCATACATGTTATACTCAATTGAAGAAAGTGAGAAAACATCATATGAGAGAAACGGGAGAAAAAAAAAGTTCAAAAGATAATAGTAAATTCTGAGTAACCAGAATATCAACAGAGAAAATTGTATTTCATGACACGTTCAATTCTCTCTCAAAGCTCAATATTATCCTGAATTCCATTTTCATGTTGATTTAACATCATTTCCTTTTATATTATCATCATTGTCAACAATTTAACTTTAAGGTAAAAAAATTAGTTCTCAAGCAAAATTATCCTTAATTTCTGAAACTTTTGTTTACTACAATTAACTAATCTCATTTCTTTCTTTCACCAACAATCAACTTTGAATAAATTAAATTGTCGAAAACTTTATAAACTCTTATTGAACCTTTCGAACTCTCATTTTACATATATATAAGATTAATATCTCTCGAATCTTTTACCGTTACCTTTGTAGATCCAAAGTAAAACATCAAACCAATTAACCGAGTTAATTGGTCCCAAGGTGTCAATTAATTTTTTCCTCGAAATCTGAGAACTTTTTTTTTGAACACTTCGAATCCTCTTCGAACTTTCCTTCTAATTCTTGAAACTTATTATTATTTAACCTTTAAGTGTAAAAGGTAAACCGATATATAAATGAGCCTAATTAACAAGAATGTGACTTTAATTTGCTCTCTCCAACATTCCCATCAACTAAATAAACAACAATCAAGTTAATCAATCTGATGATGATATTAATTAACTGTAACAATTTATCCATAATATCAGATGAATATTATTAACATGATACAACCAAAAGATAAGCTTGAAACTTAGTTTGATGAGAATCATAATTACTTTCATCATCATCAGTAATCAGTTAATTGGTATCAAAATATTTAGTCAATTAAATTGCTAACCATTGGATAAAGTTTCCAGATTATGATAATGATGATGATGAATGAAATATTAATTCAAATAATGATGATAATCATAATCATCATCACCATAAAGATAATGAGAAAACTAATTACTACTACTAATAACAGAAAATGAAAGATTTACAAAGGTTCATCTAAATTGTTACTCCAATTAAATTGAATCCTAAATCAACCAATTAAGAAATTAAAGTCAATTCAGTTAATCATGTAACTGAATTGACTTTAATTACCATTAGCCCATAAGGTAAACCATAATTCAGGTAACGTAATGTAAGATGTAAACAAGGATATAAAAAAAAAGACTTCGAAAGGTTAAAAACGATTCAAAGTTAATTGGTGGAGATTAAAGATTAGAATTAATTAGTTGCAATTGGATTTACTTACTATTATCTTAGGTTTATGTTGATTGAGACCAAAATAATAAGGTAATCCATTGATGGAAACTGTTGTCTTGGTTGTCTGAGGTGTAAAAGATTGAGAAAATGGCGAAATCTCCTGAGATGATTTACCGAAATTCTTATGGATTATGGCACTTATGGAACTTGAATTAACTAAACTTGATACTCGGCTTTCCTCATATCTGAATTAATCAATCATCAGTGAGAGCAATTAATTAGTTTAATTAATTAGAAAATGTTGTCCATGTAGTAGAAGAAGAAGAGAGATGAAGAGATGATAATCCATGAGTTGGTGTCGCGTTTTGTTTGATCAGATGAAAAAAGAAATAGAATAACAATTAGTTGATGAGATTCTCTCGTAACAATTAAAAACTATGATTAACAATAGATTGTTGATTAATTGATTGGTTTTAAAAAGGAATACTCTAAATCCAAACAATCAAATTTAATTCACTAGACGATAATCAAGAAAGAGACACAAAAGACTTGAAAGATACTCGAGATGATAATGATTATCAAGTTGATTACATAAATGATTGGGATCTACAATTGATCCTTATTTTGTTCATCACCATGATTATTATTGTTGATTACAATGGGAGGATGAAAGGATGATAAATTGGAAGATAATGATGAGGATGAGAAAAAAAAGTAAATTCGAAAAAAAAATAACCAGAAATAAGAAAAGGAAATACAATCTTACCAAGCAAACTTCCAGGAGATCCTAAGCTACAGATCTCCTTTGGTTCTGAATTAATCAACAATTGAACAATTTTGTAAGCATGCGAACAACAATTTGGAAACAATTAATTTATTATCGTAAAGAAAATGAAAATCAACAGAAAAAGGTAACATGATAAAAAGATTGTACGATTAATCAATGTAAAGGTGAGGTTAGAAATGAGAAACTAAATTGAATTGAGTAGAAAGGGTTAAGGTGTTGCTACGATTTAATTGTAATCAAATTAAATGATAATTTATTTATTCTCAGTTTATTTGGTCTTTTGGAATTCAGGGTAAAAGGAGGAGAGAGAGAGAGAGAGAGAGAGAGTTCTCAGCAGGAAGTACAGAATATGAAAGTTTCTTCAGAATTTTTCATCAGAATCAGCGGCAGAATCTTTTTTCTTTCCTCCCTCCCATGAATATACTTTTATTCAATCTTCTTATCATGTAGATTTACCATGAAGATGCAAAAGATTATTTAGAAAAGAGATGAGAGGAAGAGGAAATCATAGGGAGTAGGAAGGGAGAGATTCGATTAAAGTATTAGATGATGTAAAGTAAAGTCTATCTTTGATTATCTTTGACACAATTTAATCAATGAGAGCAATTAAAAGTCAATTGGTTATCTTTCATTTGGTTTGGTTAATAAGATTAAATTTGATTAGAATCCATACCTAATTTCCTGTTAATCGTCAGCAAAAGGTGACACAAAAGTTTTCAATGAATTTGTGTTAATTATTTGTCACATGTTAGTATTGGTTGGGAAAAGAGAAAGTAATTTGTAATTAGTTTTAATTCAGTTCTTTCATTTTAAAATTGCGAAATGAAAAAAAAAGGATGAGAAAAAGGAGAAAAAAAAATAAAATCGAAATGAAGAAAAAAAATTCTACTCAGAACTTTAAGAACTTTAGTTTTATATTAAATCTTCATGTTAATCATCAGAATTTCTGATTCATATAATCATCATCATGTATATTAATAAAAGTAAACTAAATTAAAAGTTACAATAGTGAAACAATTGGAAACTTTTAATTCAATTAAATTGAAAAATTTTCGAATAACTTTTCTCTTGAAAATTTCAATTATAACTAATGACGATTATGATGATAATTATATTAACCCTGAAGCATGAATATTCATGAAACTTTACTGGGTTGATAAGAAACGGAAACAGAAATGATAAACAGAAAAACCGGAAATTGAGATGAAAATCATATTAAAACAAAAGTAAATTTAAATGATTGAAAGAGGAACAAGAAATCAAAGTGTTTCTCCTTGAGAGTTAATTACAATTAAAACTTACGATTTAAGAGGCATTGGACTTCCGGCTTGTGAGCTTTGACCATTGGCTACATTCATAATTGGACAAGTGACCATTAGATAAGCTGAAAAGAAAAGTACGAAAAGTTGATTAACTTTTGTTTTATGAAAATAAGTTTACAATTTAAATTGATTGTTACGATTAATATTCGCAAATTGTTTCTTATGTTTTCTCATCTTAACCGATCAACTTGATTAGATTGTACAGATCGAATATTAGATTTTTGATTTCGAACTTTTTATCTTCTTATTTTCTTTCTTTACAATAGTTAACGAGGTTATTTTAAGTTCTAAGGAAACTTTTCCAATAATATCTCTTCTTATTTTAAGTTTTCTTTTTCTTCCTAGTTGATTGTTGAACCCTCAAGACATTGGGACAAGATGAACATGATTCGAAGCCCAAGACACCATGATGATCATCTTCAAAATCTTCAGAGTTTAGTATCATTACTGATGAGACGAAAAAAGAAAAATTTTATCTTAATTTTAACCTGGTAAATGCCCGAAGGGTAATAAGATAATAATTCAGAAGAAACGATGAAAGGGTGATGATAATTACGAGATTGAAAGTTTAAAATATTCACTTGATACAATTTCTCATGAAAAGTTTCATTCTCTTACCTTTTTCTGCTTTTCGCCTTTTCCTTTCATTACAAATCTTAACGGTACAAACGGATAACACTATGGCCGCAATGAAAAACAATATACCACCTACGACACCAGCGGCGATCGCCTTGTCCTTTGAGTGGCGAAAATTACCTCCTGAATGACCCAGCGAAAAAAAAGAAAATTAAAATAAACCAACATTGAAATTCTGATAAATAATTAACTCTCATTGACCACTGGTCATTACTTGGACATTTGAAATTAGGTACACTAATAGTTGGTAAGATTAACTTTGATAATATGTTATTGTCTTTTTTTGCTGATTCATTTTTTTGTCACAAAAAAGATGATGATGTAAAAAATGAAGATAAATCTGTTGATGATGATAAGCTTATCATCATCATCTTTACTTGAATCCAGTCAATTAACAATGGATTTACCCAAGAGATTGACCATTTGACCGATTACTTTGACTCTGACAATTAAGCTTACAAGGTCAAGTATTAATGTTAATATCAAGTAAAAGTTTTTCTCATTGAAATCCTTTCATATTATGTGATGAAAAACTGATCCACCATTAAAATAGTAAATCTATTAAATATACTCAAGGTAGAAAAGACGATGAAACAATCAATTGATAATAATAGGAAGATGATTCCAGAGATGATGATAAATTGAAAGGTATATAACCGAGAAGATGATAAGATGAAAAATCAAATTATTTTGAGGTTCATGGAGTTGAAACATGGATTTTGGTGGATTCAGTTTTCAATCATCGAGTTGATTGTTATTGTTTAAAGGTAAAGAAAATAATAAAAAGACAATTTCTCAGAGAATCATTTTTAATATCATCAATTTTCACTCCAAGGCATTTAATTTCCGATCAGCTGATCAAATCCAGTATATGGATACGTTAAACTTAATCCGTAATCATTTTGTTTCAAGATTAAGTATTTAAGAAAAGATCTTAATCTCTTCATCTTAGTTTCATCATCTAAAGAAAATTTCATGTATAAAGAAAGTTTGTAATCCTTTTATTAGAACTTTTTCCCTCTACAAATCTTGTTGATGTAACATTCGAAATGAACAATTGAACTTTACAATTAACTAAAAAAGTTCTAAATTCTCTGATAATCAATCTTATCATTACAAGTCATTGGCTTCTATTTACAGTTGAGAATTTTATCTTATAGTTGAATAGCATTCTCGTAGTGTGATGTTCATGAGGAATTGTTAACAATCAACTATAACAATGATAACAAAAAGTACAATAAAAAAAAGGAACCAGGTAAGTAAAAGATATGAAGAGAATGATAAAAAATCAATGAGAACCCAAAAGCCTTACAAATTTTGTAGGAACATTTTCCTTGTTGTTGTGTCAATGATTTTCATCAACTTTGTATTGCACTTGAGATTTAACATGTAATCAATTTGCATCAACAACAATCAACAAATCAACAGTTTCAACAATTCACTCAGAAAAGGTGAAAAAATCATTTCAAAGTAAAATGCAAATCAGTTCACAAGAAAAAAGCAGCTTTTCAATCAACTGTCAACCTAAAAACAATACTCGAAAATGTTTGCTTCGATATGTTTGGTAAAATTTCAACAATCAGGCACGAGAATTTGAAACAATTAAACCAGATTAATTGTGGTTACAAGGAAAACATTTGGTAATTGTTAAAGGGTTTTACATGTCGAAATGATTGATAATTTAGTTACAATTGTCCAATAACAAACAAAATGAATGTGATAATAATCATTACAATTGATTGAAATCAACATATCGAGTCTCTGATAGTAACAATGATGATAAGCAAAACTGAATTGAAAGTAATCATGAGATAATGATTGTGATATTATTGGGAAATAGACAAAATTATGAATATTATGAGGTTATCATCTCAATATCAATAGTATTATTATTATCACTTGTGACCAGAATAATGACCAATTTTATTCAATAGACAAGATTCAGCGATGATTATGAATAAAATGATTGACCCTTTATCATTGTTATTGATATTTTATATGTTTCCATTCAATAAATAGTACAGGGAGTTATTCAATCCTTCATGATAATCATAATTGGCCATCTTTATATTATAACTCATGGAAACGTTTACAAGCTCATCTTGTATCATTCTCATCATCATCTAAAGGTAAGAAAGTATTAATATAATTTTCTTATTCTATTGGTTCCTGATTTTTACCACCATGATCCCATACAATTTATCGGTTTTCATGAGAAAACATTGAGGTTGTAGCCATAAAAAAAAGAAATGTTTCATTATGTTCAACTAAAGTGATCACCCAATCAACAGGAAAAATGAGATGAGAATCGAGATGAAATCAGAGAAAAAGTTCTGACCATGGAAAACGATTCATTGAATCATATGTGATCAGTTCAATCAATTGGGAGCTTTTTTCCTCATTTTTTTATCGGAATTTTTAAAATGGCAACAAAAAAAGCAAATTCTACTCAGAGTATCAGAATTTTTCTAAGAATTCCCATAAAAACAAAGTGCAACTGAAAGTTCTGGTGAAAAATTTTGCATCACAGACAAAAATGCACTTCTATCAAGACCCAATAATCACCCTGTAAGTAAGTTTAATCTACGTGTCAATAGGATTGTGTATCCATGTTTATTTTTACATGGGTATATAGTCACACCAATGAATTGATTAGGAAAATGAATCCCATTGATGCAGAAATTTTCCTGAAAATCTAAGCAGAATATGATATCAATGATGGTTATCATCATCATGCTGAGTCGGTGAAGATATAATCAATGTGTCTCTAGCAAAGTAAATGATGCAACAATTTATCTTAAACATGATAATCATGATAAATTCAGAATGAAATTCAATATTATTATTATTGTTTCTTTCAACAATAAGAAAATCATTCTCATTCCAAAAAGAAACCGAGTTTATTCAAGTATTCATGGTGAAGAAATGACTGAAAAGTCTTGAGATCATCAAGAAATCGGCAGTTAAATCAATTCGGTTGTTTAAAAAAATTCTGTAATCAAATCATGATGGTTTTTCCTGATTCCAATATGAAACTTTTGCATGTGAATCCAAATTACATTTGAATTTTCAACTTTTTTCTGGTTTACTTTTAGTTTCTCTCAATAAAAATTTGATTTCCCTTTTGTCCGATTGACCAGTGGTCAAAGATAAAGGTTATTCAAATATAACCTGTCATTATGTTCAGTACAACCTGATATTAAAGTAGATCAACTATATTATTATTCAATTGGCTTGATTAGTAACCATTTAAATGGGTTTAATTATGCCAATCACTTGATCAATTATATTGCTTGATAATGTGAAGTTGATGAACAGTTAAATTAAAGGGTAACAATTAATTAACATGCAATAAATTAACGAATCAAGAGGATATCGTTTAACATGAGAATCTGAAATTTTCTTAAAGAAACCAGAATAATCTGAATATAAATAATATAAGATCAGCATAAAGAACCAAATCAAAGTGTGAAAACTTATCATCGGTAGATATTTGATTACATGGGAGGAAGAGGATGAAGATGATGAGAGAATCTGATTGCCTTGAGTTTCTCATCATCTTCTCGCAACTTTATCAATGGCTCTCTCTCTCTCTCCCTCGTATGCTTTTCTTTTTTCTGTCTTTATATGAAAGTCTATTTTTAGATTGACCTTATTTCTCAGGCAACTGACATTCATCCTCTTCTACCGCCACATCTTTCCCACCCTCATCCTATGACTTCTAGCTACTCATCGTCTTTCACATTCATGTTCATCAAAGGTACCATCATGATAATCTGAAAGATGAGAGAACGAGTTACCTGAAAAAAGTCAAAAAAATTCTGATTCCATTTTTTTTTTCTTCTTAAGGTTATTATTAATAATATTCTTTATGCTTTGTTATATCTCTTCAAACAGAGATACTGAGTTTCACTATCGTGTTTACAATAGAATAGCTTCAAGTCAAGCTTAACCTGGAAACTTTGATGAGAGAAAAAAAAGTTCGTAACAGAATAGAATAAAAAATCGAACAAAAAATATCACATTCCATGAAATATATAAAATCCATCGATAATTTGTTTCCCTTTTAGCGGGAATCAGAAAAAAAGGAACCATTATGATCCATCAAAATTTTATCTTTCACCTCAGAAAATTGATTGTCTTCTTTACACACATTCATGATTCATCCACCATCACCAAGGAAAAGTCATAATTCATCCTGAATGAATTTGGAATAGAGAAAGATAAAGATTTTCTTATGATGAAAACTTGATAAAAAAAAATCATCAGCCCACCGGGTAACATGGAAATGCTCAGATTCAGTTTCAGGTGAGATAAAGATTGAAGCAACAATGGAATATCTGTTCTGCCAGTGGAGATAATTTATTCAATTCAGTTCCATCTCCACCACCCACTGAATCCAAATGTACCTGATGTTTGTCTCTCATTAGTAACAATAACAAGAATAAGAAGAATCAAAATACATCATGATAATAAATCTAATTCAGAAACAGAGTTCAGGTTGGGTTGTTGAAGATTCGGTGATAGAAAAAGCAAAAAAAAATCAGTTATTCCATTGAACTTATCACACAAAACATTAGTCTGACAAATGCTGAATAAATATCAGGATGGGTAAAAGTGATAACATTCAATGTTGATATTACAATTTCAACTTGAACAATTGGCTCACCTTTACCCTGGAAAAAAAAGTTATTACCAATGATTATCTATTATTATCATTATTATATCGAGTGAGAATTCAAATTCAGAATCGGCGAAAATGATGAAGAATCAAAAGAATCGAGGAGAAGTAAAAAAAAGAAAGAAAAAGTTCCAATTGAGTTCAGAATCTGAATCATGTTCATTTCCCTCATTCAATGTTACTCTTTTCTCCTTTTACTATCATATCTTTGATGTTTCGTTTCTTTTCATAATCATCATGATTCAAACTGAATGTCACCAAGGAAACTTTTACCATGGAGTTTATTATTATTTCTAATACACTTTTTCCCCCCAACTTATCTCAATTCCATCTATTAAAGCTCTATCTCTCAGTCTGTCTCTATTCAACGATTCTGTCTAACCAGAATTGCGTGAAACTTTTTTACTCATCTTCGCCCCCTGACCATGAATCTGAACAACATGACGATGAACAACATCAATCATGTTACTTTATTTACGTAGAGACAAATATACAAACATACAAGACAAAATGATAAAAATCTGTCTCTTAATAAATTGTCATTACTGTTATATTTTCATTGAATGAAAATAATCATCATGGTAGCATGATAATAGTACTGAGGAAATGTTCAGTGTAGATGGTAAAACTTATGAGTTCATGAGGATAATTCATATGAAAAAAGGATAAATAAAATTGACTAGACAACAATAGTCGAGCAATCAAGATAAATGGAAATGTTATCAATCATTTGTGAGCATCATGAACCAGAGACTCGAAGCCATTGAAACTTGGAATTTTCTTTCATTGACTTTGCTTTTTTTCTACCTGAAATTATGAAAAATTATCTTCATTTTACATCATCAGTCATTTGAACATAGATAAAGTCCAAGAATAAATTTAGATTGTACAATTAATTAGGAATTAAAGTTAATTGTTTACCTGGAACTTCAAATCGCATCTCGTCACTTGGTTGACCAGCACCAAGTATCGAGTGGGCATAGACTCGGATTGTATAAATTTCACCGGCTTTGAATGTTTTCACTGAAAATTTTACAATACAAATGGATCATTAAACTGTCAACTCAATTATGCATTAGATATACTTCAGAACTACAATTACAATTACCTAAGTATGAAGTTTCCTTTGCAATAGGTCCCCATGTTTTCCAGTTCGTTGTTCCTGATCCACTTGAACCAACCTTATATTCAATATAATAATAAGCAACTGGCACTGTACGATTAGCAGGGGATAACCATGAGATCGCATAGCCTTGGGCAACTCGAGTGACCGTTACATTCCGAGGTGGACCTGGTTTAGGACCTGTAGATGGAGGTTCAGTTGAAGGTGATTCAGGTGATGATGATTTAATTATATCCTTATTATCATTATTAGCAACATGATTATTAATATTTGAGGCCAACGAGTTTTGAATATCACTTGATTCTGAAAATGTTCAACCAGTTTTGTTTTTGTTTTATCATCAAATTTAAATTCATAATAATCATTTGGAATTTATCATGAATCCATTGACAGCATGAGAAAGAAATAAATTATTAGAGATTAGAGGAGAAAAGGTAAGAAAAAAGTTCGACAAAATCGAAAAGTTTTAGAAACTTCTGATAAGTGATTGGCATGAGTTATGAGATAGAGAAGAAAAAAAAGTTCTGAGTTAAGGTGAATGTGCACTGAAATGATAATAATAATAATCATGCTAAAAGAAAATGATAAAACAAAAATAAAATTTGGTGAACAAAAAACAAAGATGCAAATGATAAACAAAACAAGTTCATGATAAACTGAGAAACCTCAAGTTATCTGATACTCTTTGCATGAGAAGATGAATGTACATCTATCATTTTCAGAGTTCTTATGGAATTGGGATAATACGATAAGGAGAAAAAGGATGTTCAGGATAAGATTCACAGTGAACCATAAGGTGACAACCAGAGGGAATTCAAAGATATTCAAAGATATCATGGTAATCATAATGAACAAAGAAAAAGTTGAGATAAGTATCATCATAGTTTCCAGAAAAAAAATATAATACTCTTGGATCAATGTGATAAAATGATTACTGGACAATAAGGATTTTGTCTTGGTGTTGTTCAGTTAAATAAATTCTGGGTGTATCATTATCATGGAGGAGGAGGTGGTGGTGGTGGCATTTCATTTGGAAGGAAATAATAATAGACAATTGGAACAAAAAAATTCTTTTTTCCTCTTCATTTCCTGGAGAGAAAAAATCTCTTACCTGTAGATTTTAGAACAGAGGGAATATAAGTTGACCCATAACCGTCGGTGGGCATTGATTGACCATTGGAAACATCGAGTACTATGAATAGATAGAAAAATGGAACAATTCATCAATCTTCAAAGGTGAAAATAAAAAAGTTTCTTCGAAATTTTCTTCTTCAATTGTAGATTATTCGAGAATGAACTTTTGGAAATCAATTCTTTCGTCATTTGTATCAATCATTATCTATCATCAATGATCAATTTAATGTAGAAATTCATGATAATAGTATATCAAGTTTTTCTGTTGATTGGCCAATAATTCAAAAAGATGAGAAGAAAAGAAGAGAAAGAAAAAAAAGTTCTATCATGAATTTTGATTCTTTTTTTTTGCTTTACTTATTATCTTCTCACCGTTGGAATACTGTTCTAATGATGATGACATTGGATATTATTCCTTATCAATTACAATTGGTGATTGATTATTGAGTCAATAAAAATTCATCTTAACTATTATATATTTAATGATGGTAACTGAACCGCCTCAGGGTATTTCATAAAGATGGATATGAAGGTGGAAAAGTATTTTTCACTCATAATATTATTTTCCATCTCAATTATGTTCATATACAATGTCAACTATAGTTAAAGAGTATTAACTAATCATCATGGTGATTATCATGATGAGTTTCACAAGAAATGAACAACTTTTTTTTCTGATGATTCAATGATATTTGATTCTTTGATATTATTATATTTTCATCTTTCATCATCAAATTTACTTTGATATCTCTTACTTTTCATTTGAAGATAATGATGATGTTAATCATGATTATCTACCCTTGATGATGATAATATACAATAGTTATTGTTGAAGATTATGATCGCTCATGAAAATTGCATGCGGAAAGAAAGAAGAGAGAGAGAGAGAGAGAGAGAAAATTCTGGCAATAGCTGAGTTTCTGTTCAGTATTAATGATTAACAGTGAATTTAAATGGTTAATGATTATCATGTTTTGGATAATAACTGATTCTCTGTATGTGTATTTTCATGATTGGTGATAAATGTTTAACTGTAAATTATATGGTTATGATTGTTGTTGGTCAGTTTATTTACACCTTTCTTCATGGACTCAACAATTTTGTTCATGCCAAAAATCACTGGAAAAACTCAGAGATGAAGTTTTTTTTCCCTGTTCATTGCCATTCCTATGATAGTGAAAGTTAACACAGGAAATTGAATTCCTTCATCTAACCGGAATCCATCATAAATCAAAATTGGACATCAGGGAAAGAAAAAGAGATAGAAGAAAAGTAAGAGAAGATGAAAGATTCATGGATGATGAGAAAGAGAGAACGACGATTCTGCCTATTAGATAAACAGGAAAAGCAAAAGAACAAAAGTGAAGAGGGAAATTCAGGCTTAACACCCTGAGAAAAAAAGACTAATATTAACCACCACAAACTGGAGAAGGATAAAGAATGATGGTGGGGAGAAGAGAGAAGGAGGTGGAAGGAGTGGTAAGAGAAAATTTTATCTCTCTTTTTCTCTCTTTCTCTCTCTCTCTCTCTGTATTTCTCCATTGAATCTCCAAGCTGAATAATCACTTTTCCTCTGTTTAAGATCTCTAGTGTTCTCTGTCAACTGCAAATATGATGACATTTTTTTCTGCTCTCTCTTGTTCTCCAAAGAAATGATATCTTCCGAATCATTATCGGAAGATAAGGGATGATGATGAAAAGAAGAACAGAGAAGATGATAAGGGTGGAGAAATGATTCGACGGTTGAATGGACATTGGTTACGTTTCATGTTCATAAATTCACTTGACCGCGTTAACTGTTATTGAAGTTTCGACAACAAACAAACTTACAACATGAAACAATAGAATTGACTTGAATCTCGATTATTATTAGATAATATCATTAGAACTTTTTTTTGTCGATGTATATGCCATGAGAGAGAGAGAGAGATACAAAACGAAGATCAAATAAATATCCAGAGAAAAAAAGAATGGTGGAAAGAGAAGAAAAATAAGAGATAATCATGAAAAGTTCTGAAAATTTGGCAGCCATCACCTCGAATCTTGTATCTAGACATAGAGTATTATATCCTAGACATGATGATTTCCATCACTTTCATTATTTATACTTCATATTTGATATTATCCATGCAGAAAAATATATTGATAATAATCCAAAGAATATTTGATAATTTGACCTCTTACCTTTGGTTCTCGCTTTAACTATAGATGAAGGTAAACCTTCACCTAAAAGGTTCCTTGAGTAAACCTGAAACTCATACTCAGTATCAGGTTGAAGGTAATACAGGGTGAAAGTTGTTGAGCCTTCAGGATAAACACGAATAGTTTTCCAATTACTATCACCGGTATCAACCATTCGATACCTGGAAAAAGAAAGTAAATCCATACAATTTTAGAATGAATTTCAAATTGTTAAAAGAAACTCAATTGAAATCGAGTCAAAGTGAAATTATGTTCGAGGAAATGTCCAAATACGAACCATATCACGTAAGTTTGCTCATATCCACCGTCATATGATGGCTGCCAGGTAACTGTAGCTGCAAAGGCACTTGTATTGACGGATACATTTGTTGGTGCATGAGGAGTGGTACCTGAAGGGATAAGAAGAATCAGAAAGAAAATAAGTTTAAATATGAAAAGAGCATCGGGAAGATTTTACTCTTTTTTACTCTACAATTTAATAACCTCAACTATTATGGAATAATATCATAAAATTACAGATGATTCATTCAGAATTCTGATCATTATCATGAATTTATAATAATGATAAACAATATTAGTTGTTAGAAGAGAAAAACAAAATATTAGAACAAGAAAATTATCATTAGAACTTTTTTTTATCTCTTTCTTTTCCATGATTCTGAATCATCATCTTACACCCAACCATTAATATCTACTCATGATATTTGTTTATCTTTTAATATTTTATATTCAATTGAAAACCAGGAACTGAAATAGAGAGACAGAAAGTTCTTAACTAACCTGATTATGTCATATACTTTTTCCCTCCTCCGTTTATCATCATGATTACATGGTAACATTTTATTCAGAATTTTAAAATAACATAGAATTTATTTTTTCTCATCATGAAATCTACCTCCACTGAATTTACTCTTCTGTTGTCATCATCATTAAAAAGATAACAATGATGAAGATAATTCTGTCTTTTTTTACATTAATATCATGAACAGAATGAGAATGAAGTTTTTTTTTCTTCTATTTTGGTAAAAAGTTCCATTGAGTTTATAAAATTTCATTCCAATAATGATCATAGATTCAAATTCACATTTTCTACTAAATTGATTTGAAAAATTCTTTCGAAAAATTTCAATTCGAATGGACATTTTTTCGTTACGTTACTAATCAATCAACAATTAAATCATCATGATGGTTCCAACTAATTGTCAACTATTGAAACTAAAGAAACGAATACAATATATTATGAGAGATAAAAAAGGATTCGAGAGATGAGAAGAAGAAGAAAAAACATTTCCAAAGGTAATAAAAGAAAGTTGGAAATTTCATCGAATAAAAAATATCTTATTAATCTCCTGAGGGGAGAGAAAAAAAGATCGAACTATAGATTTAAGATGAAATGAGATAAACAACAAGATGAAGAAAAGAAAACAAAAAGGATAAAAAGGATTAACAAGATAAACATGATGAAGATGATAAAGGTCATAGAGAAAAGTTGAATTTCTAACCCAAAAGATATTGGAAATGGTCAAGTGAATCGTAGCTTTTCAATATTCAAAGATAAAGCTGAATGAAATTGAGGAAGGTGAGTAACTTACTGTCAACCATGAGTAAAGATGAAGTGACCAGAGTGGCTATTTCATTTTCGAGGACACATTCATATCTCCCATGATCCTCTTTCTTTATTGATTTGAGCGTTAAGTTACCTCCCCTGATGAAGGCTCTTTCCTTTGGTAACTTGGAACCATCAGCCTATTGGAGTGGAAGATAAAAGAAAAGAGAGAGAGAGAGAGAAGATGAAAAAGATGAAGATAAAAATGATCGTAGTGTTAAACACCATTAAGATTGCTGAAATAAGATGATGAAGATAAGTAAGAAAATAAAAAGAGATTAAATGAGCCTGAAGATGAGGATGAGGAGTAAACATTGGAAAAGATATTTTTTTCTCATCATCTAAGGGTAAGGAAGACAAAGATGATAGAGTAGGTGGGATGACGAGAGAGAAAGAGAGAGAGAGAGAGAGAGATGATGAAATATCTTAACTTTTCTTCTGTCAACCGTAAGATTAAAATGTTACAAACTTTATCTACATCTCTCATCCTTATCATCATCTCTTCATTTTGATGCAAGTACATAAACTTAGTTCTCTCTCACTAAGGACAAGAGAGAAGAAAAAATTTTCGTTCTGGAAAAATTCTATCTACTTTTTTGTTCATATTTACTTTTTCAATATCATGTTTACATGAAATGTTATCCTAACACTTAGTAAACTCGAAGTTCTGACAAGCTGAATTCTGTCTGTTCATGAATATCATAAATACCCATGCACTCTGTTCATGTAACATTTATCTTTGTCATTCTTTGGCTTTTTGCTCATTCCATTTGCGATTCTCCCATAATCTCCCTGGGTCCATGATGAGTTCTCCGAATGTTTTGAAAGAGAAGAAAAAAGTTCTGTGCTTACATTGAGAAGAAAAAAATACAAACCATTATTCATTTTCTTTCTATTATTCTTCAGTGATTTGAATACTATTCCAAACGATTAATTAATCAGAGTTTACTGCTGAATAACAATCATCAAAATCTATTTACCCTTAGAAAAAATATTCCTAAAGTTAATCAGTTTGTTGAACTTTCCAATGATCACAATCAGCTGATTGTTGATAGATTCAATTCAGGGAAACATGAAAATCTGTAATCATCTCACATAGACAATTGATAAACTTTGATGAGTAAACTGATTGTTAAAACCATTTCAATTCACATCAATCAGAATCCAAACCTAACCATTATCATGATGAATACTCTTGAAACTAAGTGTCATCTGAATTCAGTGATAATCATAATTTAGTGTGAGATAATATTTGACATGCAAAGTGTTATCAACGACAATTGAGTTGATTATCAATTGATTATAATGAATCAATTGAGAATCACAATTGTGTTATTATCAATCGGTTATTTTTTTATAAGAGTTAATGAAAAAAAAACATCATTCAGAATTTCATTTTTTTCATACTTTCTGATGAATAATATTGTTTATCAAGTGCTATCATTATTATTATCATTCACTTTGAAATCGACTAGAAATTTACTGCTGATTCTGATAATTAATTGGATGAGATTTAGATTACAACCAAGAGTCAAGATTTATAATCAGTTTATGGAAGTGCTGATAATTAAATGAATTAACTTGATGTTCATGGGAAAATTTCATTAACCCAGGGAGTGAAAATGTTGATGATAATTTGGTTACCACTTTTTTCTGACCTCTTTTTGTAATCATATCGTTTCAAGTTCAACTTGAAATTTCATCATGATATTATAGCTGAATGTTTCTTACTTTTGGTGAATTGAAAAAAAATAGGAAGAAAATAAAATGAAATAAAAAAGTTCTAATTCGAAAACAAGTTTCCTTATATCATGAAAGTATAAAAAGAAAAGGAGAGTGTGGGAGTGGAGAAGATGAGAGAATCAATTCCAACGAGTTTCAGTTATAATTCAATTTCCAAGGCGATTCCAAAAATCGGAGTAACAATGTTTTTCACTTTTCCATCTGAATTTACAGTAAATACTTTATTATGAAAGATACTTTTCTCATCTTCTTTTGCCATGAAATTCAGTCACTTCCACTCCCATCAACAGAAGTCCTCAATCCATGATGAGTTAGCTTTGGAAACGAAAATTTCTCTCTCACCATCATCTCTAATTCATAGTAATACGAAAGGATGATAATGATGATGGAAGAGGAGAAAGGAAAAAAAATCAAAGATAAACCTTAAAATGTAAGATTCAATGAAGGGTGTAAAATGTAATCATTATCATCATCAGGGTGATGAGCTGAGCATTGAACATCTGAAATCACCTTGAAATCATTTGTGATGATAAAGTTTGACATGAAATAGGTTTGTGTTTCCATGATAATGAAAAAAAAAACCACCAAATATATTAATCATGAACCAATGAAACCAGAAACATGAACAAAATGATTACTTGAATGAAAATAATGATATTAGATGAGATTGGAAAAACTAATGATAATTATTGACATAGAAAAACTAATCTAAAGCCAACACACAAAAGCCAATCGACTATGATAAAATGATGATGAAATGTATCATAATAATTATCATTGAAAGGTGATGATATCATGAAATATATCATCTAGCTGATAGAAAAGTTCAGTTTATTGAACCAATATTTATAATAAGAAATCGAGAGATAATCAAATCGATCATGTTATTGTGCTGATGTGGATGATAATTAGTAAAGATAAATTTTCAAGGCGAAATCGTTGAAAAAGTAAAGAAAGTTTTCCTTTCTTTGAGTTTTGTCCTTGATCAGTTCGTTAGTTAATGTTGACATAAAGATCCAATGATTTCTTTGCTATTTATAGCTGACAGAGTTTATGGGAATGGGAGCGGGAATGGAGGAGGAGGAAAATAACAATGGTAAGAATCAAGTAGTAGGTCAGTCATTTTCACGTAATGATGATTCAAGTTGAACAAGGAATATGGTTTAACCTTATATTTGGGTCAGATTTGGGTTTACAATTTGTCGAAGAGGTGGAAAGATATAAATAGGACATTGGATCAAGACGAAACAAGGGAAATCGAAAGTAGGATGAAAATAGAATTTCTTCTTTCATGAGAATAATAATAATTCAACATCATCATCATCATCATGAAGATGACAATGATAAAGAAGGAAGAAATTTACGTCACTATGAATTCTGATCAACTTCATCTACATAAAGAACCAGAATAAAAAAGATGAAATCGATTGCAAACGTTATTTTCTCTGGTGAATTCTGAGAAAAATCCTAATAAATTCATTTCAATCTTTTTTCGCTCCCATCATGATAATTATTATCTTCTTTATTTCCTTCTCATCAAACAAATTCCCTCAAGGATTAGGTTCAAATTTTGGATGAAAGTTCTCATCCTTTTCATGTAATTTTCTTGCAACATTTACCATGGTGAATAAAGATCAATATTGATTGCAATCTTTGTCCATGTTAACAATCAGTTGATTGCCAATGAATGATAATTTTGCTTACCTTTCTCCAACTGACCGTTGGCTTGGGTTGACCAACTCCCTCACAAGGCATTTTAACTTCACTATTTACTGATTGTTGATAAGCATCCTTGGGTTTAATGGTGAAAAGTGGAGGTTCTGAAATGAGAAAGGTGGAAAAAAAGTTCATCAATTTGAGAAAACAAAGGAAAAGTTTCACTTTCAACCAGAATTTTACAAAAATTCATTCTGATTGATTCTCATTCTGATCAAATTGAAAAATGGTCAATCAGATGCTCATCTAAAATAAGATTCACCCAATCTGAATGAGATACGTTATCATTGAATAAGTAATTGTATACTTCAAGAATGTGATCAAAGTTATAATCGTGATGATGATATTACCATGTAAAGTTATGATAATTTCATGATGCAAAGTTTCAAACTTCAATCAAAGATACAACAATAGGTAAGGTCAAAACGGTGAAATGAAAAAAAATATACAGATTAAAGTTGCAAATTTCCATATGATAATTAGTTAGGTGGTTAACATATCATTATAAATCCTCATGAATAATATCATAGACTCATGAACTAATATGATTACATGAAAGGAAAGTAGAGAATCATCAATATCATGGCGAAAGTGGTAACACCGACCAAAGATGAAGGTGAAACAAGTTGATACTTTCTTGAGCATCATCATCATCATCAACTAGATGACATGAGTTATCATTCATGCTCAACGAAATATTACCCAGAACTTTTCATTTTTATCTGCACTATCAAGATAATAACCATGATAATATCATCGTTCTCTCTTTTCTTAACCTTTAATCTTTTTCCAATTTCAATTTCAATCGCTATTCATTCACGATAATATCATGTAATATCTTCCTAGATACCTTTTCATTTCATCATCATTATGAGTAGATAAACACTGAGAAAAAAGTTCATAATCAAAGATTAATTTCTCCCTCATCTCTTTTACTAGATTCACAATTGATTCATAACCTAAGAGCAAGATGACAAAATTTGATTAGATTTGATAACAATTCAACTGATCATCATTATCATCACATTTTCATATCATCATGATAATGTGTAAATATATTATTATTATAATAATAATAATCAATAATAAACATCAACTTTAATCGAGATATTTTTTCCCCTCTCATCAGTTTACCTTGATATTAATAATATTGTTTATCTGAAAGGTTCACCTTAATATCACCAAAGCCTCAAGGTATTTATCATCTTTTATCTTCATATTTTCTCATCATTATCAGATATCTGACATTGCTTTTTATTACTTTATCATTTCCTGTTTTTATCTTCCTCATCTTCTCAGTGAATAGATTCCAAGCATCATCTTCATCAATTCAGATCGATTATCAACATTATCATCAAAGTTCAATCTCTTTTTTTTTCTCTTTACTTGTATTCACATGGAACCAACTCAGAGAAAATCTGATTGCTCATGAGCAATAAAATTCTGGTTGATGTTTGTTCTTCCATTTTTAGAAGCATTTTCATCTTATCATCTTATCATCATTATCATCATCTTCCTCTCATCATGATGGAAGTTGATGAGGTTATAAAGCAATAGAATCAAAAATTATCGTTTGATTTTTATCATGAAGAGGAAGATAAAATGCTCTGTGTCAAAGTGAATATGCAAAGAGAGAGAGAGAGAGAGAGAAGCAAATTTGTTTCTTCTAATCAATTCTGAATATTCAATAAAATTCATTAGTCCTGCATCATGATTCTGATCAAGATTATCATGATTATTGTATGTAAAAGATAAACTGAATCCCTATGAGTATAAATTGAAAAAGTTTCACCTGAATTATATCAACATTGAATATTAAATTGATCTTGTTGGGGTAATTTAATTACAATTGAATTTTAACCTGTACCATAAATATATTGGATATTTAGGTTAACTTGGTAGCACTTTAATGTCAAATTGTTATCATTTAATGATTGCAATTGAATTGTAACAATTGCAATGGATAAATTATCTTGAGACCAAATTGTATCATGAAAATAGTTTCAACTGATCAACCAAAACTCACAACTGATTGGAATGGGAGAGAGAGAGAGAGAGAGCATCGAGTACATTGAGCAAAGAATAGAGAAAGGAGGAAGAAAAGTAACATAGAAAAGAAATTGTTGTTTTCTAATTGAATTTTCAGTTTCCGTTTCCGTTTTTTTCTTCTCATTCTTGTTCTCATGAAATCAAAGTTTCCATACTCTTTTTTTCATCATTATCTTTATCATGCTCATCATCACACTGAATCTTTTTAACAACAACAAGAAAAGGAAATGAAGCTGAAGAGAAGCCAAAAAGCATTATATTCAGTCTGTCAGTTCCAAGGGAGGCAAAAAGGGTTGAAACAATCATCATGTTTATCATGGAAAAACCACCCAAACCATCATCTTTATTCAGAACTTTGAGAATGCTCTCATTTCCATTGTTTCTTCATGTAAAAATGACTTGCCATCGGAAATGATGGTTCAAAAGTCCACTAACTGTTAACTGACAAAATGAGTTAAGGTTAACCATAGACAGAAATGATTATCAAGTCCAGAATTTGGCTCAGTGATTTCTCATTAACATGATTAAAATGTTTTCATTTTCATGATAAACTTTTTCTTTCTTAATGTTCTCATTGTAACCTATTCAATTTTCATTTAATTACTTCTAACTGTCAATTTAAATTTTACATAATTAAAAATTTCACCTCATTAACTTTAAATAATTTTAACTTTCTAATTACATTTGATAATTACTAATGTGATAATTAATTTTTTATATAATATCTTCATTCAAAAAGTTCATTTTAAAACTGAAATCAACAATTTAGTTGTGGTCAACTCACAGTTTTCTTAAAACATTCAATTGTAATATTATGAGTTAATTGTTGTTCACTCGGTAATTTGATATTATACAAATGATTTAACATAAAATTCTGATTCGATGTTGAAATAAATTAGATGAATGAAGAAAACAATTCCTTACCTCGAACCAGAACTTCCATTACATTTGATGTTCCCGCTGTTCCATGAATATTATAAGGTGTACAACGATATCTACCCTGGTGCTCATTGGTCACTCTTTGAAACAAGAGTGACCCATTGTTAAGTGAGACAACACCGGGTAAGTTATTAGGTTCAAAGGGTCGTCGATCTTTGGTCCAGGTTATAAATTGAAAGGGAGGATTGGCTTGGACAAAACATCGAACGATACCCGAAAGGCCCAATGGTAAATATTGAATTGTCGGTGAATAAGTTACACGAGCAGGATCTAGAAAGAAAGTTAATAACAAGCAAACATTAATTAATCAAGAATAATTATCAAAATTTAGACTAATAACAAATTAGAAGCCAACACCCATTTAGGAACATGTAAAAATCATCTGCATCTTTGAAATAATCAATCAACTTTCAGAGTAAAAGTGATTAATTTTCATAGCGAATCTTAAACATACGCTATTTCTATGAGTTAATTATGAGTCCATTTTCCCCATGAATTACATGAGAATTATGAATTCGACGATGAATAAAAAGATAAAGATGAGAAAGAAAAGAACGAAGTGGAAACTGAGAGTAAAGAAGAGTCAGAACAAAGATATTCAGTATTCTCCAGAAATTATATACTCATGAATCGGATGAGGATGGAAACAGTGAGTTTGAATAAGGAAAAAGTTTCTATCAAAGGATTGGACGATAATAGATTTTCTCACCAGGATGATGAAAAGACAGAGAAAATGAATCCAATGATTCTGATTATTTTTCCATGGGAGATTCTGAATCATTACTTTCATTTATTGTATTATTTTTCTCAATATTTTTATGCTCTTCTAATATTATCTATTGATACTTATCTATGTTTTCATTGTAATCATAATATAATACAAACCTAATTAAGGTCAATCTTTGGTTTTTTCACCATCATTCAATTCATGATCATCATCATGATGCAGATAAGGAAAAGATTTGTTCATTGTTACATGATAGTATATTCAATGATAGTTCTGACTGATTAAATGTACACGCTGATACATAAGAATATTATATTTGGATAAAATTATATCAGGGAACAAAAAAATCTCAATTCATCGTTTTCAAGAGCTATTTGTCTATTGGTATTCTTTTGCTATTATTTTAGGAATTTTCTAAGATTTTCAATAAGTTCTGATGACCTTCTAATGAAAATGAAGTTCATGTAGATGTCGATAAGTATATATACTTACACTCTACTGTTAACCAGGCAAATGCTGTATCAGGTGAGCCAATACCATTGAATACTTTACATGTATATTGACCTGAATCTTCAGCTGAAGTTGGATTAATTAACAAGGTTCCATCTCGTTTAACTATCGTCCGAGTGTCCAACCATGATAGTTCACTTTTATCAATATTATTATGAAACCATTGATAGGTGACATTGGATGGTAAGGCTTTGGCTTCACAGGTAAATTCAGCCTTATCACCTTCGAGTTTAGTTAAATTTCGAGGTGGCGAAGTGATCACAGCGGGTCCGGCAACGATTACTTTGGCGGCTGTCGTAACTGACCCTTCACGATTTCTGGCCATGCATAAATAGTCACCAATGTCACTTTGTTTTAAACTTGATATCTTCAGTTCACCGGTAAGAATTTCAATAAATGAGCTTGATTCTAATGGTGAATTATCCTAATAATAATGAGAATATAGAAAAAAAATATTACAAATTCAATTAGACCATGAAAAGTATTATAACATTTTAAGTTCTGATTTTTTTGAAAGAGAAAATTTTCTCATGATAAATTAATCGTCAGTAGTACTTACCTTATACCAGATTACTGTTGGTGAGGGTGTACCAGCAGCTTCACAGGGTAGTGATAAAAACTCACCCACCTTCACGTAAACCACATCAGGAGGTTTCACTTTGAAATGTGGTGGAGCTGCAAAAATCCACCATGAGAAAAGGAGTCCAGATGAAAAAGTTCAGTTATTATATTATATCCATTGTTTGATATAATTAATTCAGACAATTTAGTTGATTATATCCACCGGGAAGAGTAATATGTCCAGGGTAAAATTGGAAAGCAAATTGTTAAAGGTAAGTGATGAGGGAAAAATAATAGTTAACATGGATTTAGAATGAGAATTGAAAGTTTACAAATAGAAAAGTGTGAAAGTGATAAAAATAAAAGAAAATAATTCCATTGACTTTTCAAAGTTTCATTACTATTATTCATTATCTTCATGATAATCATATTATCTTCATCATCATGGAATCGATTAGTGTTGATATGAAAGACAAACAAGATTCATGTAACATCATTATTCAGATCTTCCCACCTTCCTACTCTTACCAAAAATCCTCATGAACTACTGAGAAAGAAACAAAAAAAAATAATATAAACTCAGAACCATCATGATAATTATCATCAAGATTCGGGTTATTCAGTTGATGAAACATCATCATCATGTTAACAGTAATGGTGATAATAACAATAACAATAATCATTATCAAACCATTTCCAGAATCATCATGATTATTATCATGGAAATAATTTTTCCCCCAACCTACAATTTCACCATTACAATTGAACAAATAACAAAGGTAAGATTCAGGTGAAATTTTTTCCAATAGTTTTATAATGATTTGTATTTGATTTTTTATTGTTGCTTGTTGATTAAATGTTTTACCGTTATCATGATCGGTATTTTATTCAATGGCAACAATTTCAACAATTTATTACCTCTAATTCAAAAGGGTTCATTGATTAATCTACTAATTACAATTTGTTTAATGAATTATGTACACACACATGAATCGTGTTTATATAAAACAATTTTGTTATTTAAGTAAAACTGTAATCATCATCATCACTACTCATGATACAGATTCTGAAATCTCAATTTGGCTTTGAATTATTCATTGAATTTCAGTTAACAGTAATTAATATTTTCATGATAATATCAATCTCATTTAATGAGTTGAATATAATCATTGGATTCTTTTTGAAATTATAACTTTTTCCCTCCTTCCATGAAATCGCTCAGTATTTATGTATCCGTCTTTTTGGTGTCTTCATTTGATTTCATATCAAAATAATTACGATCATATTATAAATCAATTGAGTTAAGTTTCTGTTTTATTTAATCGTCATGATAAATTCACCACTTTCACTTTTCATGTGACGTTCAATTGAAATGATAATCATGATGACGACGAGGTGGTAATCATATTCCAAAGTAAAAGTATCGAAAAAAAACCTTTTCAATGGAAGAATTTTCATCGTAACAATCTTCATGGAAATTAGAATCTCTCTCTCTCTCTCTCTCTCTCTCTCTCTCTCTCTCTCTCTCTCTCTTCTCTCGCATTTACCAATGATCCGAATGTAAAAATGTTCAAATTCAAAAGAAGGCAGTTGGATGCTCATGATTTAGAATGCTGACATTCTGTCACAAAGAATTTCTGGAAAGGGAATTAAAAAAAAGAGAAATCCTGATAACTGATAATGCGAATGTTTCATATCCTGAATCATTATCATGGATAAAAAAATAACTCGAAAAAAAAACAAAAGATAAATTTGTTAACCTTTATCCAGAATTTTGACTTTACCTCTTGAACTTTTGTCTCGTTTTTTTTACACTTATTCCAGAATTATATTCAAAATATAACAGGAAGAAAAAGGATTAGAACAGAAAGAGTTAGAATATCAGTTACATCAGAGAGAGAGAGTGAGAGTTTGTATGAGAGAGAAAGTTCTGAAAAATAATCGAGCAAAAAAAGAGAATAGAAAAAGTTCTAGTTCTGTAAAGTTGATTCTCATTTTATGGAAACCATTATGTCTACAAACAATAAACATATAATAATAATGATATACACAAATAAATATATTTATGGATTCATCTAAATGTTATCATGTGAATAATATATTAACATTCATCATGGTTGAAAGTGAACACAGATGAAGATGAGAGGAATAAAACTAATTCTAAATGTTAGAGAAAATTTTCTTTTAGATTATTTCGTTTTTTTTAGATCAGAACTTTAATCCTTAAATTCATCTCTTAATTCATTTTCTTTTAGAGAAAGGAAAAAACTTTATTCCAATAACACCAATAGACTTGGAAGACAATCTTAACTGTAACATCTTTCGATAATAAATAAAAAAACATAATAATGTAACAATCGAAATAATATTATTATCGATTTCAATATCGAAGTAGCTAATGGTTTCTTAAGCTCGATAGTTTTACAATCAGCTTCTTAGTCGGAATCGATATTATTCCAAAGTGATTATTATAAAATTTAAGAAATTCGAAAGTAGAATGAAATAAAAAAAAAGTTCTCAAAAGTTCTTAAGTTCTAATCGGGGAATAATGAGCAAATTCTGATATCTAATACTTGGAATTGGATCTTAATGAATCAGAATGAATGATTAATTCTAGTAAAGGGTTGAAACTTTTTTTGCTATGAAAGCTCATGGAAATTCATTGATCATCATGATGATGATGAATGATAGTGGAACTTTTCATAATTTCTTAAAGAATATTATCACCACAAGAATCATGAGAGCCCTTTGAGAATAATTTCATTACAGAATCGAGAGAAAAAAAATTCCCTCAAAGAAAAAAGAGAGAACCAAAACTTTCACCATGAAAATTATTGAATATTTAATAGTAATTATCACAATGAATCACTATTAGTACCATGAGTAAACTTATTTTATATGTATAGAAGGGGTTTGATAATAATGAATAAAAGTTCACCATGTAAAAGATATAAGATTGATTTTCACTTCATGGTGAGAAAAATTTTCACTCATTGTTCATCAGAAAGAGGAGATAATTCATTCTTAGTAATATCTTATATTTATCGTAAAAAAAAGTGTATCAAGTTACTCAGTAAATTAGTATAATCATTAAGATGAATGCTGATCAGCAATTAACCCGATAAACATTGTGTTAAAATGATGCGTAATTAATTTAATTATCAACATGAGCTATAAAATTTCATTCCCCATGAACTCTGATACTTTTTAGACTACCTGTTAACAGAATTCAGATTCAATTGTGACTCAATACTCTTGAAATATCACCAGAGTTACACTGTTGAGTCGATATTAGATCATGATCGATATTGGATAATGTTCAACATTTTGTTTCATCATTTTCACTTATTCAGGTGAATGCATATTATTATTAATAGAAAATATCATGACAATTGTGTTGATTATACTTACTATCTATTAATAATATATCGATAGAGTGAGAGAGCGGTAGTTATGGTGGTGTAGAAGAAAAGAATATCACAATTTTGTTCTATTCTCTCTTCTTTTCTTCAGTCCAATAATCAGGGTTAGTTCCCTGGCGATAACTTGTCAACTTGTCAGATTCACAGCTCACCAAATTCAATCAGGAGATAATATTAGATAACAAAATGAGAAATATTATCATGATAACTCAACTAGAGCTTAAACTTTTCTTTTCAACGTTCTTATTATTATCCTCTTCTTTTTCCTATTGATCGACAGTTCGAGAGATAAAGAATCGATATGGTTTACTTTGGACAACTTTGAATATTATTTGATGGAAAAACAATATTTTATTTACTCTTAATTTTGCCACAAAATTTGAGCTTTAATTGTTTTTCATCAACTTTCGTTGATTATAATCAATTGTAATAATAATCAAGTTGCTAATTACCAAGTTTAATCATCTCCCTCTGTCTTCAATTTCAAGTCCAAGGTGACAATTATCATCAATTCAATTATCAATGATCAATTAATGGTCAATGGTTTGGTCATTTGTGATGAGTGTAATTAATTTTATCTCTAATTAATTGATTTTCACGTTTAGTTTCAAATTAATGGGTTTAGACTCATTTCAAGTTAATCACAATTAAAGTGAACTTATGTAAATCTAAATGACTGTGGGTTGGGTAATTGGGCAGATGAAAATAACAGAAATTGTTACAATTAAAAAGAAACCACTGGTCAGTTATAAACAAGCAAAATAAATAAAAAAAGAGCGATGAAGATGAAAACTAATATATATAAAGTTCATGAGGTGTAACCATGGAAACTCAGTAAAACCCGGAAAAAAATTCGAATGAGAGAATCAGAATTTTGGTTGAAAGGCAGATAAACAACAATAGCAAGCAGAAAAAAAGATCACCATGTAAGAAGAGATGGAGAAAAGGAAGAGGGAAAAATAGAAGATGAACGATGGAAGATAAATGAAGATGAAAATCTCTGAGATAAGAATCAAGGAACATGGTGGGAAAAGATGATGAAAAAGAAAAGAAAACACAGAAACGAATTCATTTTGTCAACTTTTTGTGTCTCTTTCCCAAATGCTGCTCCTTTTACCAATCAGTTTGTTGTTTTATTTCATTTTCGTGTTCAATGTTATCTTTTTTTCGAGTTAATCGACAATCAATACTTAACAATAGCATGTCCACGAAGCCCACTCCAGACATTTTCCACCCTCACCAACTCTCTCTGACTCGCTTTCCCTAATGGAGATACTATGTAATCGGAAGTTCTCATTTGCTTCCTACCTCTTTACTACTCTCTTCCTCTTTTTCATCTTTTTATCTTTCACACTCTGTACCTTGAACCAAAGAAGTTTCGAACAAAAAATATGTTCGAAATGACCAAACCATTGGTACAAACATTACAAGAAAAAAACGATAACATGGTAAAAGAGCTTGAAATTTACAATCTAACTCAATTTGTATTCACATTTTCAATCACCATTAATCAAAGTTGTGGACTCAGGTGGACACTTGAAACTTTTTTACCCTGAAAGTGGACAAACAAAAACAAATCATTTGAAATTCATTGATAATTCAATAAGAAAAATTGAATAAGTAGAAAACCTATTGAAGTAACTTTCAATGTTCTTTCACAGGTTGTTGATTAATTAATCATGTTAATACGAT